TTTGCATAACTGCACATGTATAACTTATATTGAGTTGCTTGCCTTTTCAATGAGGGTGGGTGGGGAGGGAAGAAGGGAGAAAATTTGGAACCCAAAGTTTTAAAAACACATGTTTAAAAAAAATGTTTTCACATGCAACTGGGAAATAAGAAATACAGGAAATGGGGTACAGAAGTCTATCCTGCCCTACAGGAAAATAGAAGGTGAAGGGGATAAGAGAAGTGGGTGGGAGAGACAGAAGAGAGGGCAGACTAGGGGAAGCAGTATTCAGAATGCATGCCACCTTGGGATGGGGGGAGGGGCGTGATGGGGTGAAAATTTGGAACTCAAAATCTTGTGGAAGTAAATGTTGAAAACTAAAAAATAAAAAAATGAGAAAGTTCTTATAAGTTACAAGTATCATTTCCCATGTAGGAATGTAAACAATTTAACCTTATGAAGTCTCTTATGATTTCCCTTTCCTATTTACCTTTTTATGCTTCCTTGAGTCTTGTATTTGAAATTCAAATTTTCTATTCAGTTCTGGTCTTTTCATCAAGAATGTTTGAAAGGCTTCTATCTCATTGAATCTCCATTTCCCCCCTGAAGGATTATATTCAGTTTTGCTGGGTACCAGGTGATTCTTGGTTGTAATCCTAGCTCCCTTGCCCCCTGGAATATCATATTCCAAGCCCTCCGATCCTGTCATGTAGAAGCGGCTAAATCTTGTATTGGAGCTAATGGTGGTGGTGCTTGCTTTCACAGTAAGGTAGCAGGGTATTGTTAGCATGTAATTAGTGTGTAATTGCTGGCTTTCACATTAAAGTGTTAGCATGTTGTTGGTGTATATCAGTGTGTTGTAGATTTTGACGTTATGTCTATGAGTAATTGGTATGTTGTTGGCATGTAACTGGTGTTTTGCTCACTCTGAAGGTGGTACTGCTGGTGGTGCTGCTGGAGCGAGAGCTGTTGCTGCTGCTGCTGCTGCTGCTGGTGCTGGTGCTGGTGGTGGTGGTGGTGTTTATATGGGTGGTGTTGCTCTTGCTACTGCTGCTGGTGCTGCTGCTGCTGCTGGTGCTGGTGCTGGTGGTGGTAGTGTGAGTGCTGCCTATATTCCTACTGTTATTGCTGCTGCTTGTGCTTTTGCTGCTGTGCTGGTGCTAGAGTTACCCCTCTCACCCTGGTGCAACAGACCTTTCCTGCCAACCTTCTAAGTTGTCTTGGGTTGGAACATTTTTTCACTCTGCCTTTTTATGGGTTCTGCCACTCTAGAATTTGTTTAGACTCATTATTTGAAGGCATTTGGAGGGGTTTGGGGGAGAGCTCAGGCAAGTCCCTGCCTTTACTCTACCATCTTGGCTCCATCTCCCCCACAGTCTTTTTGTGCCTTCTTTACCAAGCTGTTGACTCTTTTCATGATTGTCTTGCATCACTCTCTTTTCTTTTCCCAATTTTGCCTTTGCCTCTCTTATTTGATTTTCCAAATCCTTTTTGAGCTCTTCCAGGAATTCTTTTATGAGGGCCTGAGACCTATTCACATTTTTTTTTGAGGCTCTGCATGTAACTCCTTTGACTTTTTTATCTTCTTCTGAATTTGTCTTTCGATCTTCCCTGTTACCATAGTAACTTTCTATGGTCAGGTTCTTTTTTGTTGTTTGCTTATTTTCTCCAGCCTATTTCTTGACTTTTAGCTTTACGTTTAAGTTGGCCTCTGCTCTTGGAATGGAGAGGGAACCATCCTAAGCTTTAGGCCTTTTTTGGCCTTTCCCAAGTTAGTATAAGATATAAAGGGTTCCAGAATTGGGCCCTAAAACAGAAACTTTCATTTTTAAAGGAATTTTGTTAGCAATGCTTTTCTTTTTCTCTTGTCACATTATCTACATTTGAAAGCCATCTAGCATTTTCCTTTGGCCATATCAGCCCAAAGAGAGAGAGTTAAAAAAAACAAACAACTTTCTGGCCAAGTTAGGGAGGCAGACAATAGAAAAACAGATAAGAGGGGCAGCTAGGTGGCACAGTGGATAGAACACCAGCCCTGAAGTCAGGAGGACCTGAGTTCAAATTCGGCCTCAGACCAAACACTTGACACTTACTAGCTGTGTGACCCTGGGCAAGTCACTTAACCCCAATTGCCTTAAAAAAGAAAAACAGATAAGAGAGATGAGGATCTTTCTCCCAATCTGCAGAAATTTATGACATCATAAACTAATCAGAGATGAAAATGTAAGTTCTCTACTGTGGATTTCCAAATTATAGTTTGAATATTTTTTATAAATGCTGAAATGTTTTAGTGAGTTTTAACTCTCTGTGGAATTTGTTTTAAGGAAAAATGAAGATTAAAGCTCGGAAAGTTGCAAAGAAACAACACTTAGATCTCTTATCACTCTTTGCCTGGAAAGTGACATATCCTTCGTTTTTGTGCAGGGGGAAAGTAATTTCATTGATTGGAGAAAAGGGAGCTGAAGCTAGGTTGAAAGTAGTATCAGTGAAATTCCAAAGTGAAGGGAAAAAAAATAGCTTGCAGTTTGAATAGCTATGGCTGCCTATTATTAACCCTTTCATGGTCCACACAAAAAAGTTTGTATAAATTAGGAAACAACTAAAAAGTAAATAAATATTATTAGAATATCCAGATACTTGAGAGTTTTGCAAATTTAAGTACACATCAATTTAGAAAGTAATATTTAAATTGGTGTGTATGTTCAGAAATTGGAGATTTTGCTGTAAGTTATATTAAAGTACTGATGTTAATTGGAGTGGATTTCAAATTGTCAAGAAGAAAATGAGACCCCTACCCATTTTTATGATAGACTATGTAGAAGTGCTAAGCAAATCACATGATGCAGAAATTATCAATTCTCCTTTTGTTAATCAATCCCTACCAAGAATTAAATGATACATCTATGGGTATATCTACGTGTGTTGCCTGGGTGGCATGAGAAGTGTATAGCCAACTCAAAAGCATCACCACAGGAAGGGAAAATCTGAACTACCCCACACCCCAAGGGGGATTAAACCTCTAAGAAGTCTTTCTCCCCTACTCCATATCCAAAATCACAGGTTAGAGAAGGGGAAGTCATTTTTGGCCAAATTCCAAAGCTAGTTTGTTTTGAATTTTAAGAACTGTCTTGCTTCTTGCTCATGGAAAGAGAAGTTTATTTAAGGGAACAACCTGAATGTGAGTCAAATTCAATTTGGAAAAATATAACAGAACCTAATTGTTTGGGTAAATTAGAAATAAGTTACCAAGAAGTATTGGATAAGAAGGACATGCATGAGAAATATTATGTGGTTATTCTTTATGATATGAAAGCTATAGTAATTTATTTGCAACATGGAATAATTTGAAGATAGTATACTCAAGGCGCAGCTAGGTGGTGCAGTGGATAGAGCTCTAGCCTTGGAGTCAGGAGGACCTGAGTTCAAATCTGGCCTCAGGCACTTGACACTTAATAGCTGTGTGACCCTGGGCAAGTCACTTAACCCCACTGCCTAGCCAAAAGAAAAAAAAGATAGTATACTAAAAATTCTGTCCTTGATGGGTCAATAGAAGAGTATATTTTAGTTGTTATGTGAGGAATATAAAAATCTCATGGACCCCAGTGGGGGGTGGGGTGAGAACATAAGACTTCTACTTTAAATATTTGGCAGTAGACTACCTGAGAATAGCAGGCCCTATAATTTGAAAACCTGGGAGTATATGGCCCTTGGTAAATTTGAGATTTTGATTTTGTAACTATAAATCCAGATTTGATATGGTAGATGTTTGAACTGAAATACATTATAATATAGTTTGGTATTAAGGCAAAATGCTTAAAGAGCATGGATTGAGGAAAATATGAGTTAAAAATAAGGTTTCTGTAAATTTGTTAACTAGTGACCTTAGACAAATTACCTTACCTCTGTTTACCTCAGTTTCCTAATCTCTAAAGGACATAAAACATAGCACCCACCTCACGGGATTGTTGTATGGATCAAAATGATATAATGATTATAAAATGCTTAACACAGAGCCTGACATACGGCAAGAACTATATAAATATGAACTTCTATTGTTACTCTTATTATTTGTTTAATTGAACATAATTATCCCTATACTAGGTAACTATACTGGATTTTAAATGTGATTAATATAAAATGCTAAAGGTGACAAAATGAATGATTTTCTATGTTAGTCTGGAATGCACTCAACTGAATAGATGTCATCTAACTGGTGATAAATTTTGTTTCATGATATTCTGAATATTATTATTATTATTATTGTTGTGTTTCTAAATTTTCTTTTATTGTGTGTTTTGGGAAACCATTGTATGAGAAATACTATTAAGAAGTTAATGCAACTGCATCATTAGAAAATTTAACTCTTAATCTGGAAACTGTGAAATCATTAAGTTATTGGAAGATACTGTTATGATGTTAAAAGCTATCACGTATTTAATTGGGTATATTTTAAAAGGGAAGAATAATTACTTAATATACGGAAAAGATAAAAAAAAAAAGAAAATGAGAGAGACTTTACACAATCTCCTTATTGGTAAATCTGCCAAGTTTCTTGGGACCATACGGGCAACTCCGTGAAATAACTTGTGATTTGATTTACTAAGAAAATGGGATCTCCTCTTCCATTACAAACACTCCTTGACAAAGGGGGTGGGAATTACAAGTCTATTTATAGGATGAGTGATTTATGTGATAATTTTTTAATTATGAAAATTATGAAGTTTTGCCTGAAATAGTATATACTAAAGTTATATCATGAGGCAAATTAGTCTTAACAGACTCCAGTCTTAAAGATTTAATTGTGCTGTAGGGATAATATATATATATATATATATATATATATATATATATATATATATATATATATAATACCCTAAGAGATGGATATCTGTTAGTCTGAAGATCCAGTGTTTTTCTGGCTAATGTTTTAAGGGGATGGTCAATCATATATTCACTATCTATGTGGAATTGAAGAATGTAATTATTTTCTTGATTTCTAATGATTTACTTTTTTACACAAGGATGAATTTAAACTGGGGAAGAAGAAAGAGAAGAAGAAAAGGATGTTGAGTGAATTTTTCTGAAAGGTCTGTTAAACTTGTATTGCACTGGAGAAGGAAATGGCAAACCACTCCAGTATCTTTGCCAAGAAAATACCAAAAATGGGTCATGAAGAGTAGTACATAACTGAAAAATGACCGGAAAACTTATTGCAACAACATGAGAGGAATAATAATTGTATCTAGCCTTAAATTACAATTAGTGAAACTTTGCTATTTGAGGTGAAATCTCATGGGACTGTAACCTTGCATTGTTCTGAGTTTTGAATTTAGGTATAATTGCTAAGTGATCAGTCAGTAATCCACCATTCAAGGAAAATGCTACTAGCTGCTCAAGGAAGTCCAGCCTGAGGGCTACTAAAGGAGAATGTCTGTATCTGGGAAAGGTTGAGGGGGATGTTCTTGGCACAGACTAAGGTAGAATCCTCTTGATTTAGTTTCCCCATTGTGTTATTTCCTTTCCAAACAAGCATATTTCCTACCTGGGTAATTTTAAGCCTGGCTATGATGCCCTGTGAATGATATGGAACTTTACTTTATGACTGGCTGTTTTAAATGGTAAATACAATTCTCACCCTAAATCAAACAGAAATAAGGATGCTTTATCTATTCTGTGCCATTAGGCTTAGGTCAGAAGGACCAGTTCTAATGTCATAATCATGTCCTTGCTTCTTCCTTTCATACTAAATCTCTCTAACCAGGGCATGTAAAACCGTAGCTTTAATACAATGAATTTTGTTGTTACAATACTCCAGCATCATTGCACTACTATATGAAAGGATCCAAGGCCCCTGAAATATTTTAGCATGATATGGGAATAATTACACATAGATGAAGAAGTTTGTGGGAAAAAGATATAATTCTATGAATTAGTAAGGTTAAAATCAGAAACATCTTTTGTTTGGTTATAACGAAAAGAATTTCCATGCAATCAGTTATCTTAGGGGAGAGTAACTTATGAACTACCTTGTGTTACCTCAAAGGGAAATCCAATTTTACTTGGATTTATTTGCAATTAACATCTGTGTGTAGAGCATGTCCTGAAGTGCAATTTACATACAGACTGATCATTTTGAGATATACACTGCTACACTGTTCTCTGTATACAATTTGAGATAAAGACCTTAGTGTATATGTGTGTGTGTGTGTGCGCGCCATCCCAAGTCTTTCGTCATTTGTTACAGTTGAATAAGCATCTTTTATTCAAGTCCATTTGTGTAGCCAATGAACCAAGAAATAAGAGTAATCTACTTACAAATGTACTGATAACTACGTATCCACGTTCAGAATTAGATCCCTAAAACATCTCATCCATCTAAAGGGAAAATTAGCTGAAGTGGAAAATTTTGAGAAAGCAATGAGAGCAGATTATTATATATGTCAAATGTAAATGTTTCTAATGGGATATACAGGCCTTGAGCATGTTCTAATAATAACTTCTAAACACTGGGTTTGGGACTTTATAAATAAAATTATATTGATCACCCTCTGCACAGGCCAAGCATTTTCTGTTTTGTTTTGGGGTTTGGTTTTTTTTAGTACTTAATTTTAAAAAGTTTTAGAGTTCTGCCTTCTGTGATATTTTAAAATGTTTAGTTTTTTATTTCTCAGTTGTTATTTGAATTTCTTAAATATGTCAACATAACAATTTGCTAACTTACATCACAGGGCAGTTATAAGCAAAGAAACTGAAGTTTTTCCCTTTATGAGGGTTAAATCTGAAAGAAAGAATAAAAAAAAAGAATGCCAGTCTTAAATAGTTAAATGATAATGGAGTCAATGCTAATTTAGAAAAGCACTCTTAACCTTTGCTTACATATCTACTTTGGTAAATGTTAAATCTTTAACCTGAAGGACTCATTTTACAACTCAGATCTTCATGAATTACAGAGGTCAGAAGGAAAATTTTAAATTCTCTTATGTTTCAAGTAAGCTATGAATTTCTCATTTAACGTTCTTCTTATAGCTGTTGTTAACAGAATTATTAACTCCCATCTCCTACAGACTAATCCCATTGCCTGAAGACTAATGCCATCACCTAAGAACCTTTGTCTTGTATCACATGTCTTGGCTGTGGTTAAGGAGTTTCAAAATGGGAGGTCTAAATGATGTAATCTCAATTCTATGTCATCAATAGCCAATCAGAAGAAGATACACCTATGTGGCTCAAGATTTTGCTTTGTCATCTCTATAACTGTTTATAAAGGACCTTCTCAGGCTTCAACTCAAGAAAGTACACTGACCCAATTTCTTGATTACTATCATCCTAATTAATAAATTGATCATGCTTGAAAATGTGTGCCTCAATTTGCCTTAATTTTTACTGTAACAACCTTTGAGACCACTGACTTTTCTATAAAACTTAGGCTCCTAGGGGGAAAAAATCATAATAGCTTACATTTACATGGTGATTTAATGTTTGCAAAGGACTTTATAAAAATTGTCTCCTTTGCCTCATGATAGAAAATGCTATCCACATCTAAAGAAAGAACTATGGAATTTTAATGCAGATTGAAGCATACTATTTGCTATTTTTTCTCTTCTGTTGAGTTTTGTTTCCTCTTTCTGGTGGTTCCTCCTATTTGTTCTAATTTTTACTTACAACATCACTAATCTGAAAATGTGTTTAATAAGAATGTATATATATATATAGTCTATAATCAGATTGTGTGCCATCTTAAGGAGGGTGGTGGGGAGGAAGGGAGAGAAAAATTTTAAACTCAAAAGCATATCGAAGTGATTGTTGATAAATCAAAATAAATTAATTTTTAAAAATTGTCTCCTTTGATTTTCTCATGGACCCTTGGAGGTAGGTACTATTACTAGGTAGGTACATATGGGGAAACTCAGGGAGGAACAGGGTAAGTGATTTGTCAAGGGTCCACAGCAAGTAAGCAAGAGAGACAGAATTTGAACTCAGGTCTTGGGATTCAGGGATAGCCCTCTATCCATTATGCCACCCCACAACCTAAAGAAATCATTACAAAAATGAATGACCAATAGATACAAAAATATTTATACCAGGACTTTTTGTGCCAAATAACACCATGAAAAGAAAAGTATCAATCAAGTAGGGAATGGCTAAAAAAAATATTATCAGAATGCCATGAAATATTATGGAGTAAGGAGAAACCTCAGGATTTCAGGAAAAAATTCTATCTGTTCTTAGGAGTTTATGTGCAGTATAAAATATGCAATGTTTAATGAGATCTGTGCTGTAAGAACTGGTCTTCCCACCTTAATTAGATCCATAAATTTTATCTCCAGCAAGATTTTTCCAATATACACAAAAGTATAAGCTCCTGGTGAAGCCTTCCCACAATCCTTGCTATTATAGCTTCTTTCCAGTGTGAATATTGTGATGTCTAGTGACCTACATCTTCCAGCAAAAGGCAGATCCTCATTGAACACATTCATATGTCTTCTATGCACTATTAATCCTCTGATACAAAGTAAGAGATCATCTCTGGCTGAAGGCCTTCCCACACTGAGTACACATAGGGCTTATTCACAAGATAAAATTTCTGACGTCTAACAAGCTCTGTAGTCCATTTGAATGCCTTTGCACATTTGTAAGAAGAATATGATTTCTATCTCATGTGAATTCACTGATGGGAAATAAGAGATGACTTTAGCCTGAATGCTTTTCCACATATATTATATTAATGAGGTTTTCCCCCTCATATTGATTCCCTGATGTTCAGTAAGGGAAGGATGTATATTAAAATCTTTATCACATTCTAGACACTCATAAGATTTCTCTCAAGTGTGGATTCTCTGATGTAAGTAACGGGAAGTCTGGTGGGTAAAAGCTTTACCACATTTGTGACATTCATAAGGTTTCTCTCCGGTGTGGAGTCTCTCATGTACAGCAAGATGGACCCTCTGTGAGAAAGCCTTTCCACACTGATTACATTCATAAGGTTTCTCTCCACTGTGGATTATCTGATGTTTACAAAGAGTGGAGCGGCATCTGAAAGCCTTTCCACATTGATTACATTCATAAGGTTTCTCTCCAGTGTGAATTCTCTCATGTACAGCAAGATGGGCCCTCTGTGAGAAAGCCATGCCACACTGATTACATTCATAAGGTTTCTCTCCGCTGTGGATTATCTGATGTTTACAAAGAGTGGAGAGGCATCTGAAAGCCTTTCCACATTGATTACATTCATAAGGTTTCTCTCCAGTGTGGATTCTCTCATGTACAGCAAGATTGGGCCTTTGTGCAAAAGCCTTTCCACACTGATTACATTCATAAGGTTTCTCTCCAGTGTGGATTCTCTCATGTACAGCAAGATAGGCCCTCTGTGAGAAAGCCATGCCACACTGATTACATTCATAAGGTTTCTGTCCAGTATGGATTCTCTGATGTGCAGCAAGATAAAAGCTCATTCTAAAAGTCTTTCCACACTGATTACATTCATAAGGTTTCTCTCCACTGTGGATTATCTGATGTTTACAAAGAGTGGAGAGGCATCTGAAAGCCTTTCCACAGTGATTACATTCATAAGGTTTCTCTCCAGTGTGGATTCTCTCATGTACAGCAAGATTGGACCTGTGTGCAAAAGCCTTTCCACACTGATTACATTCATAAGGTTTCTCCCCAGTGTGGATTCTCTGATGTCCAACAAGACCAGAGCTGCTTGTGAAAGTCTTTCCACATTGATTACATTCATAAAGTTTCTCTCCAGTATGGATTCTCTGATGTCGAGCAAGGCTGGAGCTCCTTGTGAAAGTCTTTCCACATTGATTACATTCATAAAGTTTCTCTCCAGTATGGATTCTCTGATGTCGAGCAAGGCTGGAGCTCCTTGTGAAAGTCTTTTCACATTGATTACATTCATAAGGTTTCTCTCCAGTGTGGATTCTCTCATGTACAGCAAGACGGACCCTCTGTGAGAAAGCCTTTCCACACTGATCACATTCATATGGTTTTCCTCCTCTGTGGATTATCTGATGTTTACAAAGAGTGGAGAGGCATCTGAAAACCTTTCCACACTGATCACATTCATAACGTTTCACTACACTGTGCATTCTCTGATGCCTAAAAAGATGTGATGTGTTGGTGAAAGCCTTTCCACACTGACTACATTCATAAGGTTTCTCTCCAGTGTGGATTCTCTGATGGTCAGCATGACCAGCCCTGTACTGACTATATTGAGAATAGTCATTCCATGAGGTCATTTTCAGCTTTGCAGTTGACTCCTTCACATCAAACCTGGTCTCTGAATCTGAAGAAAGCAAGCAAACATACATACATACACACATACAAACATACATACACATATGTTATAAATATATTGTCTTCCTTCTGTTCACAAAAAAATAAATTGAATGATGGGCAACTACGTGGCAGAGTGGATAGAATGCTGACTCTGGAGTCAGGAGAACCTGAATTCAAATCCAGCCTTAGACATTTACTAGCTGTGTGACCCTGGACAAGTCACTTAGCCCTATTTGCCTCAGTTCCTCTTCTGGAAAATGAGCTGGAGATGGAAATGGCAAACCACTCCAGCATCTTTGCCAAAAAACAAACAAATAAAAAAAAATGAGGCACCAAGAGTTTGAAATGACAACAACAACAAAAACTGAATGACACTCAATTTCCCCAGTCAAAAACAAAAGCTTTAAAACTTATATGGACAGATTCAACCATGTGAAATTGCCCTGGTGATCCCTTTTAAATTTTTGTTATTGTTGTTGGTATAGATGAGATCCCATCATAAGTGCTAAGCCTGGTTGGTTTGTTTTTTTTATTCACCTGAAGCATATTAGCTTCTGTTCTGGACCATCACTTTGTGAGGACAGCCATTATCTTTTTATTTTAAAATTTTTACCTTTGAATACTACTGTTCACTTAATAAAAAAAAACAAAACTAAAACCTAAAATCCTTATAATAAACACAATAAAAAACTATGCATTTCCCACGTCCAAAAATATTATTTCTCATACTGGACCTTGAAATCACCATTGTTCTGCCAGGAAGTAGATAGCATGCTTCCCTATTAGTCCTCCAACAACACTTCCCATTTAGGGGACTAAGAATACTTTGGGAGTTGGTGATGATGGTCCAAAGAGTTTGAGCTAAAAATTCTTTCATGGTATCTTAAATAATAAATAATGGTGCAATTTTGTTATTAATGCATTTTTCCTCTGGGAAAACAAGTATGTGAATATTTGAAGCATAATCAGTCCTTTTCTGCTGTGATTTCCAAACATCATGATCAAGCATACAGGGCTTTTGGTGTTCATGCAGTGAATGCAGCAAACTGTGACTGATTGCTTCTGACTATGTGCAACATATTTCTTCATTTTCTCAACCTATCAAATTGTTTCCAAACCCTCAGACACTCTGGACATTCATGTGAAAATTAATTCCCAATGGATGGTCACAGGCAGGAAAAGACCCTCATCTGCTTTTTGTCATTGTACCAGAGTACTTCCTTCCTTACCTTGTAATCACATTTCATCAGTGATGTAATCACTAGATGAAGATGTTACAAATATTTTTGTTCCTGCAGATCAGATGGCAAACTCCTTGATCATGATCCATGATCATCAGGCATGCACATTACAAGTCATCTTTAAAAAATCATGGATCATCACGAACATTCTGTGTAGACGATAAACATTATATTGCCTCTTGTTGAAGTGCTAAGGTTATTTTTTTTTATTTGACCTTATCTTCCTCTTAACATCACTATTCTACTGTGAGGTTGATTTTCAAAGGAACTGTTTGACTATCTGGGTCAGTCCCTCAGCAGTTTCTGTGAGAATGTAGCCAATGTTCCATGGTAGAAAAAGTCAGTTAAAGAGATCTTCTCTTTTTTAATTTATATATACATATATATATACACACACACACACACACACACACACACACATATATATGTACATATATATGTACATATATATATCATTTTTTAAAATGAGAAAACCAAAGCAATGTACACAATTGACTTTTAAGTGCATTTATCAATTAATACACTACTTGTCATTAGCCAATTAACAAAATACATTAAGTCACTACAGATCTTGTATATTGTAACTCATGATTCCTTTGTTGACAGGTTAGGAAACTATTAACAAAAAAATGAATTTCCATCTCTCACCAAGAAAGCTTATAAAATTCTCCTCCCATTTCCTACCTCATACACATGCACGTTTCCACTGTATTCTAGTTATAAATCAAAATATAATTGGTGGCACAGCAGGTACAGAGATGGGCCTGAACTGAAAAAGACTTGAGTTCAAGTCTTGACTTCAGACACTTATTAGCTGTGTGACCCTGGGCAAGTCACTTAACCTCTGTTTGCCTCAGTTTCCTCAAAGGTAAAATGGGGATCATGATAGCACCCTACTTCTCAGGGCTGTTAAGAGAATCAAAAGATCTAATTATTGTAAAAAGTTTACCACAGTGCCTGGTAAGGATCCAGAACTCCTCCCTTTTGAGAATCACTCCATTTTGTTCACACATATGTGTCTTTACTCTCCCATAAGTGCTTGCAATGCAAGTAACCCAAAATAGGATGTGACACGATAATCTTGTTTTGCAATCTGTTCTCAGAAACAGCAGAGAGCCCCCATATTCTATTATGCAGAAACCCCAAACCCTGAAACTAGATACAAGATTTATTGCACCAGATCACCCTCTAGCCCCAGCAACAAAGACCTTGACCAATCAACTTTTCCCCCATCCTCCTATCCTGTTCTTCACTCCCTAAAACCTGCATAAACCTTGTATACTGTTGATTCACAGAGTCTCTGTCTCTTTGGATCAGACTCCCTGCTGGCAACCTCAAGAAATCCTAGTTGGTCCCCGATCTGTTGTTTGCATTCCTGACATCAATGCTGGCATGTATTTAGTCATATGTAAGTGTTAGCTTTAATTGTTATTGTTATTATATTATAAAAATAATTCTTAAAGAAAGCCCAACATGAAAGTTTTATAATTATGTAATACTTATTTAATTTTATGAATTTCTAATTTTATGTTTAGTTTTTAAAATTAGAAGGATAATACATTTTTATGTTTTATAATATTAGAGTTTAATATAAGTACTAATTTGGAACTTGGGAGGTAAAATGATCAGTATCACTATTGCAAGTACTTAATGCATACATACAAAAGAATATTCTGAGTATTAGATTAAACGATGGGTGGGGATCATAACACTTTTTGTAATGGTTGTTGAAAACGATTCTAAGAACAAAAAATTTTAGAAGACATTACTCTGTTCTGGAGTCATGGCTGTTCTTTGCATTGATCAGTTTTGTTAAAGTACAAACTATTCTCCTGGTTCTTCTGCTCACTGCTCTCTAAATCAGTTCAGAGGACTCTTCCCAGGTTTCTCTGAAACAGTGCCTTTCAACAGTTCTTACGGAACAATAAGGTCCTATTCTATATCCTATTCTTATTCTAATTCCTCAGTTATTTACCAATATATGGTAATTACCTTTGTTTCAATTTTTTTGTAACAAAAAGAAACTGCATCTATAATTTTTTGTAGAGCCAATGTGCCTTTTCCCTCTTTCTTTGATCTCTTTAGTTTATAGATCTATTTGCAGTTATCACTGAATCAAAGGATATATAGTTAAATGACTTTGGGGGCATAATTCCAAACTGTATTACAAAATAACATTCCTTCATTTTAAAGTGGTGTGAGTATGTCAAGGGTTTCTTATACACAACATGTTGGGTTCTCCTTTCTAACGCATTCTGCTATCATCCTCAGTTTTTATCATTTGCATCTATTTATGAAAATGAATTATCTTTTCTCCATATCTTCATATCATCTTTATTATTTGCCCTTGTCTCCAGTTTTTGAAGGAAAAAAGTAGGTGGGGGAAGGGAATAGGATCAACACTGGTCATCTATAATTGAAATTGCATGATCCCCACCAGTCACCCGACCTTGTCTTCCTTTGATCCCAGTCCCAGATGACTGGTTGTAACTCTATCTTAAGAGGCTCTTATCTTTTAATTTCTCTTGTTGGAAGCATTCTTTAGGGTAGAAATTTATTTTCCACCACATGAGGCAGCTGGGTGGCCTAACTGATAGAGCAATGGGGCAAGAGTCAGGCAGACCTGAGTTCAAATTCAGTCTCAGAAACTTACTAGCTGCATGATACTTGGAAAATCACACTACTTCTTTGCCTCAGTTTATCTGTAAAATGAGGGAAATAAATAGCACCTGCTTCCCAGGGTTGTTGTGAGGATCACATGAGATAATATTTCTAAAGCTCTTGGCACAGAGTAGGTACAATATAATTGTTAGCTATTATTGTCATTTTCGTTTTGATTCTTTCCACTCTGACTATTCTCTCCTTCATGAAACTTCATTCTCCTCTCTCCTTATATTCATAGTTGTGTCTGTTGAACTTCATGTATTTCCATACCAAAACACTCTCCATTTCCTGCATCAGCTAAGAGTGAATTTCAGTCTGTTATTCTCAAACCATCTTCAAGTTTGTATAGTAGATTTTGAACTCTTTGACAGAAGGAACTGTCTTCTGCCTTTCACTGTAACCCCAGGGCTTATTAGCCTAAAGCCTAGAACATAGTAGGCACTTAATGTTTATTGACTAACTGACTGGACCTAGAACTCATATTAGGCCCTAACCTCTACCTCAATACCTGGATTCTGGTCTCTCTCCTAGTTGTCAAATGTATGGCTTGTTTCTCTTTCTTGTACCTTTTCACTTATAAATAGTTATCTTAATACAATTCTAACCCTGACAAGACCTGACCAGACTGAGTACAAAAGATAACAATGGCTTCTAGCCTCCTGAACACTCTCCTGCTATGGAATACCCAGGAGCCTCTGCCTAACCTTAGGGTGGTGGTCACCTCATGAATCTAGCCAATGATTCTCTAAGAATGGGTCAAAGATTGGGCCACAGAAACCAGGAAAATAATAAGGTTGATGACTTACACTTGATTGATTTCCAACTAAGACAGTGGCCTTCACTTCTATTCACATACTGATGATTGGAGATGGAGAAATCACAGAATCAGGCAGACTACGTCCAGAACAAATGTAGGTTACATACTCTCAGCTGGGCCCTCACTATGGCAAGGAAATCCTCTGCCAACTCAACACAGAGTTCTTCCAAATCTTTTCATGTTTTCTTAACCTCCCCGCATCATTTGCTCCCCCCTATACTCTCTAATCAGAACATGGCCTCATTATTTCATTGAAAAAATGGGACATTTACCTAGAGCTACCTTATCTCCTCCTCATTTCACATATATCTGATACATTCTTTTCCTTCTTCACCCCAGTCTCATGTGAGGAGGGGGCCCTCCTGCTTGCCAAAGCAAACTCATCTACATACATAAATATTCCTACTCCATCCAATCTTTCCCCCCAGAATATTCCCAATATGATACTTTCCCACTGCTTCTGAATATTTCTCTGTCTACTGGCTCCTGACCTAGTTCCACAAACAAAAAAAGCATCTCTCCCAGATCCATTAAAAAAACCCAACTCACTTGATCCCTTTCTTCCCAAGATATGTTGTCCTATATCTTACAACTCTTTTCATGGCTAAATAGCTGGAGACGGCCATCTACAATTGGTGTTGCCACTTGCTTTCCTCTTAACTTCTTCAAAACTCTCTGCAGTCTAGCTCCCAATTTCATTGTTCAACTGCAACACCTCTTTCCGAACTTACCAGTGATCTCCCAGTTCCTAAGACAAAAAGTCTTTTCTTAATCCTCATTCTTCTTGCCCTTTTTGCAGTCTCTGATAATTGTCAATCAACCACTTTTTCTTGACACTCTCTTCTCTTCCCTCTAAGGTTTTGGGATAATACACTCTCCTGGTACTCTTCATAATATATCCAAAGCTAAACTTGTTATCTTTTCCCCACTGCTCCCATTTTCTTTCTTTCCTATTACTATCTAGGGCATAACTCTTCCCAACATCTAGGCTCATAACCTACATGTCATTCACTCCTCATTTTCTCTCACACATTCCTGCCCCCTACATTTAATCTACTGCAAAGTCCCGTTGATTACACTTTTGTAACCTCTCTCAAATACATCCCCTTCTCTCCCAACATCACTCCTTTCTTGGTTCGGGATCAATAACCTCACACCTAAGACACTGCAAGAACTGACTAGTTGGGTACCTCACATCTCTCCCCACTCCACTCAATCTTCCAACCAGCTGTCAAATTCATCTTCCTACAGCTCCTGCCTAACCATATCACTCCCTACTCAAAAAACTCCAGTGGCTCCCTATCACCAAGATAAAAGATAAAATCCTCCGCTGAGCTGCTCAAGTACTTCATCATCTGCTCCTATCTTCCAGTCTTCTTTCACTTCACTCCTACTCCACATATTGTATAATCCAGTGGAGTACAGGCTTCCTTCTGTTCCATGAACAGGACATGCCATCTCCCAATTCCATGAGTTTTCCATGGCTGGCCCTCATGCCTAGAATGCTCCCTTCTGGCTTCTCTGAAATACAAGGTAAAATCCCACCTTCAACAGTAAGCCTTTTTCAGTCCTCCTTACCTTAGTGCCTGCCTCCCTTATCCCATAGGTAGCAGGTTTTACACAGTTGTGTCCATGTTGTCTTTCCCACTAGTCTGTGGGCTCATTGAGAGCAGGGGATATCCCTTCTATGTCTATATTCCCAGTGCTTAGCATGTGGCCTGACACATAGTAGGCACTTAATAAATACCTGTTGACCTAAGAAGGGCTAAGAAAGAATCATATTAGACAGCCTCAGCCCTTTTGAGATAGTTGCAGAAGAGTTCCAAGACCCAAAGTTCCCAGCAAAGACTTTTTCTAGGATCACTGATTTATTACTAGAAGGGAACTAAAAGTTCATGGAATTTAACCCCCTCCTTTTACATGTGAGGAAACTGAGACAGAGGGGTAGAATGACCTGACCAGGATCCCACTGCTAAAAATTGTCTGAAAAAGAATTCTTATACCCCAAAGTCTAGCACACCCTTTACTCCAACATGAAGAAGACTCTTGTGATAATAGCCCAGATATACCAGTTTTCACCTCACTCACCTGAACAGGAGTTCCTCAGGCCTTCTTGCTCAAAATGGGAGATCAAATATTCTCTGGGAACTGGAAGCCCTGGGCATGGGGAATAAGTTAAGGATGAGGATGGAGAGAAATTTGTAATCTAATCCTCATTAGGGAAAGGAGTAATACAAGCAAGGATCTCAAAGTGGTTCTAAGGACTACTCAAAGATAGTTTCCAGGGTGGATATTGCTAGGAGCCTTGGGGATGAGGTGGGGAGGGGAGGTTCATGCAACCAATCTGGAATCAGAAAATTCCAATTTTGTCTACTTCCTTCATAGAAAGATTGCCTCATTCCATAGCTTCCATTTTCTAGAAATTAGAGGCAGCTGATAGTGCAGAGGAGAGAGCACTGGAGTCAGGAAGACCTGAGTTCAAATCTGGCCTCAGACACTTAGTAGCTCTGTGCCCATGGACAAGTCACTTAAATCTCTGTTTGCCTCAGTTTTCTCAACTATAAAATGGGTATAATAGTACAAAACCAAAAGGTTTTTGTAAGAATCAAATGAGATAATATGATAAAGAAAGCCCTTAGCACAGTGTCTGGCTCATAGTATTATATATAAATACTTATTCCCTTCCCTTTCTTTCTTTGCATCTATACCAGAATTTGGGGAATGTATGAAAGAAGAACAGGGACACAGTTGCTATGTGCTCTAAGAGTAATACCATGAGCAGTGGGCTACAAATTTTTCCTTATTATCCTTATTAACAAAAAAGAACATTCCAAAGACAAAACCCTTCCCAAAGAAGAAGGATGGGGAGGAAGGGGGTTCCTTTCATTGCCCATCTTCAAGTGAAAGCTGCATGATCAGATCAGTTTTTAGACATTTGCAGACAAAATGCACTTCCAGGTAGAAGTTAAACTGCATAATGCCTGAGATTCATTCCAAGTCAGAGATTCAGTACCATTGGTTTGATTCTTGACCTGAAGCTGCCTAGAACCAGAAGGAGACATCTTCAGGCACAACAAAGGAAACTCCTAGCTCCCTATAACACAATGCAAAGATCTTTCACAGGAAAACCAGTCAGCAGGAGGATCTTGTCGCTTGGACACAGGAAACTAGCACTTTGGCCTTTCTAAGAATTGATAAATGCCTGAAACTCTGCACACTAGGGAGGCAATGAAGACACTCTTTTTGATGGCAGATTTAGAGTTGCCAGAGGAAATGGTCCTTACCCAGGGAGAGTAAGTTCTGAGCATTTTCTACCATGACATCCTTGTACAGCTCTTTCTGAGAACAGTCCAATAGACCCCACTCCTCTGGGGAGAAGTCCACAGCCACGTCTTTGAATGTCACCACCTCCTAAAACGTCAAAACCCATAGGACTTAAGAGTTGAAACACTTCAGAATTTATCTAGTCCAATGCTCATCAATTTACAAAAGAAAACTGAATCACAGAGAAGGGAATGGCCCAAAGGTCATACTCTTCATGAGTGTCAGAGCCAACACTTGAAACCATAGTCATGAAAAGCCCAATGGAATATTTAGAAAAGTATTTTATATTTTCAATTGGAATAAAGTTTTAATAATGTATAACTATGAAATGCTATTCCCTATGGAGTCAGAGAAGTTATGTCTCCAATCAGTGAAATACAAAGATCTCTGGGGGAGAAAAACAAGGTGATATGAAATTTCTTCCTCATCAGAACTGTCATAAGTGATATAGTTCCATAAGAGTTTGTAAGAAGCAATAAGTACTTGTTTTGTGGTGCTAAAACATTTCCTATGATCACTGAAGAGAGAGAGAAAAAAAGGAATAATCTAGTTAATTTCCTAAAAGTCAGAAATAACATCTTATCTAGAGAATATACTTAAGAGATATTAATCACAGTCTGGACTGAACTGAGTGGTATATGAAATTGTTTCCATCCAAGTGAAGAAGAGATATCTATTGTTCTACTGAAGGCTTGAAGAGTCTTTGGGTATGGGTCAGAGACAAAACATCTTGTGTAATACTTTATTAAGTGGGGTTGGGAATGGATCTAATTCATGAGAAAGACATTGTCAAGTTCTTTATGAGAAAAAGATAATCTAATGGTACCTCTAGAATCTAGAACACTGGAGAACAAGAGTCAAGAGAATGAGTTAAGACATAAGCTGATGAATGACATCACATAGTAGAGCTTGGCTAGATCTGAAAATACCTTGATACTTCGGAGGAGTCATCTACTTTCCCACCCTGCTATACACAGAACATGTATTTGGCCAATGCACTTGATATGTAATGCTCTACTATTTCATTTTCTTCTCCTTCTGTTGTAACTGCTTAAGTCATGGTTCTTTGTCTCTGAACTTAGTTCAGAGATTCAGCTGGTCTATAATGTGTTAAATTTAAAAATCCAGCTCTCCTGCTAACCACTAATCTTGCTTCAGGGAAAAACTGACCTTTGGGGACACAGGATATTAGGCCTAACATCTTTACACCACCAAGCTATCCTTCAAGGATGTCTAGACTGCTGTCCAAAAACCAGGTAACTTTTTAAAACTTGTACCATAATTTCAACACATATCCTTCACAAAGTTCTTCTTTTATCTTTCTAGCATTTTTAAAAAATGCTTTGACTGATGACAAAAGAAAACCTGTAGGACTAGAATAGTTCACTGAACTCATTCTCTCCTCTTAATCCTTAATCTAATAAGGCAAGTGGTAGTAGCTTAGCAAATGCTAATTAAATAACTGACTCATAAAGAAGATATAGTTTTCTTTCTTGTGCAAATACTCTGCTGAAGGCCTTTTTAACACTTTAAGCATCTTTTTTAAAAAATTCATCTTTTTTTTTTTTTTGCAATTGGGGTTAAGTGACTTGCCCAGAGTCACACAGCTAGTGTTATGTGCCTAAGGCCGAATTTGAACTCAGGTCCTCCTGACTCCAGGGCCAGTGCTCTATCCACTGTGCAACCTAGCTACCCATGTATCTTTTCCTGCAGAAGGGCCCTACCTGATCTCACCCAAAACTCTCTGCATAGCCAGTAGCTTAGAAACAGAGAGACAGACAGATACATAGATAGACAGATAGAAAGATAGATTAGATAGATAGAAATACAGACAGATATAGATATGCAGATATACATATATACACGGGTGTGTGACATCTATGGAACTGAAGGGCATTTATGTCCATCTCTTACTGATGATGTGGGTCACACTCTTGAATGGATAAAAAAAAGTGCAGTGTAATTGTCTGGCTGCATCCTGTGCTGCCTTACTCTGGCTGTCACTAGCAAGGACCCTGATAATTCTTGCAACAGGATCAAATGAGATACTATTTATAATGTGCCTATAATGTACATGGTCAGTGCATGTAACTAACCTGACCCTCTTTCCAGTCTTCTTACACCTTACTCTTCCTCCCCCTCATACTGCCTGAATGAACTCAACTCAAATCTTCCAGCCAGAGGAAAAGTTTATTTGTGATAAATCGAATGGGCCAGGTGACGCCCATAAGGACTAGCAGGCATGAGAAAGGCTCAGCCTTTTAGGCCTGAGATTCTCAGTATCTGAATGGGGGCCAGGGTAGATCTTATATACTAAAGTGACTCTGGGTGACCAGGGAAGGGTCTGGGAAAATGGTCTGGGAAAAGGGTGAAAATTCCGATTGGAATGTCTAAGAGATTGAACAGACAATGGGAATAGATAATGAAGGAACTGAAAGGCATCTGAATGAGATCAAAAAGGGGAGCTAGGGCTTTCAAAGGGAATAAGGGGAGTAGACAAGGGGAGTCGATAAGGAACCTAAAATGGGAGCCAGATTCTTTTTTAGGAGGAGGGGCAAAGGCGTATCTGAATAAGATTAAAAGGTAGGCTAAGGCTTTCAAAGGAAGATGAGGGGCTGGAGCCTGTAGACAAATGGGAGCCAGATTCCCTTTGGGGCAAGACCTTGGCTTGGGCCACACCCCATCATTCTGACTGATCCATGACCAATACCCTCTATATTCTGACTCTGTGCCTTTCTAATAGCTGTCTCTCTTGCTTGGAACGTTCTCTATCCTCAAACCAGGCCTCCTGGCTTCCTTTAAGTCTTAGCTAAAATTTCACCTTCTGAAAAAATCTTTTCCCTGTCTCTGAAACTGTTAAACCCTTCCCTCTGAGAATACCTCCCTTCTGTGTTGTATAGATCTTGTTTGCACATGTTGTTTTCCCCATTAGACTGTGAGCTCCTTGAGGGCAGGGACTGGTTTTTCCTTCTTTTGTATTACCAGTTGTTTAGCACAGTGCCCTTGCCCTTTCTACATGCTTGCAGACTAGACCTAAGAAATGTTAAAGCGGGGAAATTCAGAGAGACCTGGGAAGACTTGTGTGATCCAGGCTGAAGGAAATGAACAGCACCAAGAGGACAATGTCTGCTTTGCTGACAGCAAAGGAAGAGCTGGGGAAGCCTCCAGGGCTCAGCTCCAGGCTTGCTCAGACAAGACTCAAGTGTGAAGGGGTGTCCTTGACCTTCAATAGCTAAAAGGGAGAGCTTGGCCAAAAGAAATAAAGAGAAGGGGGGGAAGAGTTCTCTGTAGGGGGGCAGGGGTGTTGGCATGCATGAAGAGAGCAAAGACAAGATCCATATGGAATAGAAACTAAAGAGTGAGGTGGTTTTCCTTGTCAGTCAATTATAATAAGGGAGAACTTAAAAAACAAACACAGGAGAGCAGCAATTTGGGCATGGGGAGAGGAGTTAAAGCTCAAAATGCCAAAGTGCCATAAATCAGTTCAAATCACTGACAAAGAGAAAAGGACAGTGTTGTTACTACTGTATTCAATTTCATAGGTAAGAGAGATTGCCAGCTTCAAAGACAATCCTCTTTGTCTATAGAAATGGCCTTATTGGTTGATGTTGGCCATGTCAGTGGATGGACTGCACTTACCTGGGATGGGGGTCTGTGGCTCCCAGGTGCCATTCCCTCTGGCTCTGGGCTCCCTGCTTGGTACAGGCCTTGGTCCTCTGCAGACTGAGAACTGGGCAGGGAGAAGGATCCCAGGGGGGGAAACTTTGTTCCTTTCTCTTCTTAAGTGGAAGGCTGGCCAACTGAGATTTATGGAGAGTGATGTTGCACAGGAGCTACAAAGTCCCTGGCCCTGCCCTCAGAGGACAGACTCCAACCTACAGAAAGAAGGAGGCAGCAGGTAGGGTCAGGCTTGGAAAGGAAGATGGTCCCAACCCTCTCTTACTCCTTCATTTCTACCCGGCTCCACAACCCTATCCTCCTATAGAGACCTAAGAGGTAGAAGGGGCTTGGGATCTCAAATGACATAACTCCAGTCAGAGCCTCAACGGCCTCTGAGTCTCTATCTCTCTGTCTCTTTCTCTGCCTCTCTTTCTCTCTCTCTGTCTCTCCCTCTCTTTCTCTCTCAGTCTCTCTCTCTCTATATGCTGCTTTTCCAGGTTCTGGTACTTTGATATGTCAGTTCCAGATTCTGTCAGGACCTGCCCCCCTCCAGAGCAGCAGGATATCAAGAGGGGCTCATAACTTTGGGATGATTTGAATATGTCCATGTCCACTAGCCACAAGGTGGTATCTCCCCAAAACACTATAAAAAGGAGACTTCAAGCTCCCCCCGACCCCACCACAGGGTCCACAGCTGCCTAGTGCCCCTGCTCCAATCCCTCGTGATGCGAGTGATGCTTTCTGCCTTTTCCCCTTCCCATCCTCTCCTGTCACCATCCCATCCTCCACCCCCAGCTCGAGCCAAGCCTTCTGCCTCCGTACCCCTCCCCACTTTTCCATGCTCGTCTCCCGCTGCCAATTAAACGTTATTGCCAGCTGTTTCCCGCTGCCAATCATAGTCTTTCCCGTGTAGTCCCAAAGAACCAGGTGCGCCTGCCCCCTCCCCACCCCTTCCTTCATCTCATGAATTAATTATCCATTCACTTGGTGCTGTGAGCAGGATGCTGCACGGGAAACAACCTGGTCCAGCTAACGAGCCAAGCGGGTCAGACTCTTAGGAATTGTAGTGGAGAGGTGCAGACAGCCCAGGCGCGCCACCCTCTCGACTTCCTGTTTCCCAGAGGTCTCCGGGCTGCCTCCTGTCCCCGGGCTGGGGCGGTCCAGCCCTTCCTCTCTGCTCCGCGGGCCGCCCCGCCCCGTGCCTCGCCAGCCTGAGCCCTGGCCCAGTCCCTCCTCCTCCTCCCCCGACCCCAATCCCGCTGACTTGCCCCGCCCCCTCCTCGAGGCCCGGGCTGCACCCTCTTCCTCCCCACTTCCCAGAGACCTAGAAGGGCAATGTTGGTCCAAGAGGGGGCCGCGTCTATGCGCGTCCAATTTAGGGAAAAGGGGGAAGGTGCTGGTCTCGAGGGTTTCCGTTTGAAAAGCAAAGGAGTTGGGGGTACGCCTGTGTCTGCAATTCCGGCTTTTTATTCACTATGAATCAAGTTTTGGGGACCGAAAAATATTCTCTTTTTCCCTGCACTCCCAAAGGGTGTGAGAAAAGAAACAGGCTGGGCGTGGCCAGGTGCTCGGGGGGGTCTCAAAAGCCGGCCTGGGTGGTGGTCCGCTTTTTGTTTTTTGTTTTTTGTTTTTTTTTTATTCTGAACTTTAAAATAAAACAAGCTTTTCCATAGCAGAGTAGAATAGAAAAAAAAAATGATTGCACATGAAACTGCAAATCTATTATGTACAACTTGCTATTCCTTTTAAGTATTTAATAAAGTTAACATGTAACTTTTTCCATACCCGCCCTAGATATGGCTATTATTGGACACAAATATGTGTAAGTATATATATATATATACACACATACACATACATATACATATATGTATGTGTATATATATATATATGTGTGTGTGTGTGTGTGTGTGTGTGTGTGTATATGTATGTATATTCATGCTTCTAGTTATCAGTTTTCTCTGGAGTTAGATAGCATCTTCCATCATATGTCCTTCATAGTTAATTTGGGAATTTATAATAGTCAAAATGACTTAACTGCTCAAAGTCGTTCTTAAAACAATGTTGCTGTTACTGTATACAATGTTCTCTTGGTTCTGCTCATTTCACTCTTCATTATTTCGCCTAAGTCTATCCAGTTTTTTCTAAGATCATGGAGCTCATCACTTTTCAGAGGCCAGATAGTGTATCAAAGCAAGTCCGCACTTGAGGTAGGGAAAAGAGCCACAGGAAGGGGAAAAAAAAAGCCCCACTAAGGCTCTTGGTAGGGAATCTCCAGTCTCTGGCTGTGTCTCTAGCCCCACCCCTTCTGTTCCTGGAAAGTCTAGCCACATCCTCCTGCTAGGCTTCTAGCAAGTCTCACTGCTCTCAATACAGCCCCACCCCTCCTACTGAGCATATCTCTAGTCCAGGCCAGGAACACTATATTGTAGCGTAATGTAAGGTACCTTCCTTGGAGGAGCCCAGGAAGAGACTCAAGGCTGCCCAAGTGGATGAGGAAGCCAAGCCTATGTTCCTGGGAAGAGCCCCAGATAACCTCCATGCCATCCTCCTTCCCATGATGGCAGGCCCTGAGATCCTGTAGTCTCTGCTGGACAACCTGGGCTTTGTGGAAAGACACCAAAATGATCCTGAGCCTCAGGTATTTGCTACCCAAGGGAGTGGGGATAGAAGACAAGGAAGAGTTTAAGTGGACTAATAATAGAGGAAATGTTGACCTGGGACTGATTCAGTCTCAAGTGAGCCTGGCAAGAGGTGTGCAGGAGATGCTCAGGACAGAGAGATCAGTGTCAGGGAGCACAAGACACCATGTATTGGAGAACAAGGAATGTGGGCATCCCTAACTGGGTAGTCTCAGGCCATAGTCCCGAAGAAGTGTAGGCCTTTATAGATGTCATGCAAGATTAAAGGTATGGTGCTGCCAACACTGAAAGCATCAGAGGCCCCATTTTTGGCAGAGCCCCTGAAAGACCCCATAGAAACCCACTAGGCCTAAGGACACTGGACCTGCTCAGGACAATCAGCCTTTCATAGCATTCAATGTCCTGTGAGAACCCAGAAACCAGCAGCATTGGAGTGTGTGCTGCTGTAGACCAGAGCTAGGTCATCCTGGTCTTTGGAAAAAGAGAATTGCACGTGAAATAATTTCTATTATTTATTGCTTGATATTCATTTTGAGATATTAAAAAATTCAATTTGGCATTTTCAGATCTGCCCTGATTCCTTTTAATTATTTTTGGTGGGGGTGGGGGAGGGGGAAGGCAATCCTATTCTTAGTTTCTGTCAATATGCCAAAAATTTGACAAAAAAATTTGAAACAAAAGCACACAGTCAAGCTAAATCCATTTCCATCCCCAAATGTCCTCTTTTTTTTTTTGGCTAGGCAATGGGGTTAAGTGACTTGCCCAGGGTCACACAGATAGTCAGTGTCATGTATCTGAAACCGGATTTGAACTCAGGTCCTCCTGAATCCAGGGCCAGCACTCCATCCACTGCGCCACCTAGCTGTCCCCCCCAAATGTCCTCTTTATTCAATGTCTTAAATCCATCGCCTTTTGGTCAGTAGACAGGTAGCATAGAACTTTATAAGTCCTCTGGACTAGTGGTGGGTCATTATAATTATCAGAGTTGTGGTGTCTTTCAAAGTTCTTGTCTTTAACAAAGTTGTTATTGTTAACCATTACTCCTTTAATGCTATGCGGTTCACTTTGCCTCAGTTCATATTACTCTTTTGAGTTTTCAATGAAATTGCCTATTTTGGATGGTATATTTGTGTTCAATTCTATTCATATACCAATGTTTGTCCAGCTGCTATGTTACAGTAGAACATCACACCTTAGTTCCTAGTTCTTTGCCATAATGAAGGAGCTCATGAATATTTTTATATACTCTGTCTTTGACTTAAGGGAATACACATACACACACACGTCTCTGAGTCAAAGAATACTAGTCACTTTTTGGATTTCACACCTTCACCAACAGTAAATTAATTAAGGGGCACATAATTATTAGTGAATTCCAGCATACATGCTTCAGCTTGTTTTTCATTGAATTTTTTAAATTAACATTCATTTTCTCCCCCCTCACTTAATCTCCCCAAGACTCATGAAATTAATATGTAGTCAAGGAAAATAAATCCCCCCAAACAGCTGTCATTTCATGAATGTGATGAAATATTGTCCTGTTAGAAATGATGACAATGAGGGTTGCAGAGAAACCTGGGAAAGATGCATGAACTCATGTAAAGTGAACAGAACTGTAACACCTTACAAATAAAAACAATATTGTAATGAAAAATGAATCTGGAAGGCTTAAGAACTCTGATCAATGAATGCAATGAGCAAACATATCTCCAGAAGACTAAAGATGAAATGTGCTACCCATGACCTGATACAGATGAAGGACTCAGAGTGCAAGATGAGACAGATAATTTTTCCTCTGATACAGACAATGCAGGAACATTATCCGTCAATACACATGTTTGTAAATCCCTCCAATATTTGTGATTGTCATTTTCTTATCACCTTTGTTGTTGTTCATTCATTTCAATCATGTCCTATTCTTCATGAGCCCATTTGGGATTTTCTTGGCAAAGATATTGGAGTGGTTTACCATTTCCTTCTCCAGCTCACTTTACAGATGAGGAAATTGAGGCAAACTGGATTAAGTGACTTGCCCAGGGTCACACAGGTAGTAAGTGTCTGAGGCTGGATTTGAACTTAGGTTTTCCTGACTTCACACCATCACCCCACCTAGCTGCCCCTCTTATCACCTTTACCAATCTGAAAATCTTTCTAATTATTGGAATTTAGATTAGTGATTACAGATGTGGAGCATTTTTATATGGTTGTTGATAACTTTTTTTTTTTGAAAACTGTCTATTCATAGCTTTTGACCATTGGTATATTGTGGAATGGCTCATTTTTATAAATCTGTATCCATTCTTTAAAACCCTTGGATAGAGACCTTTATTAAAGAAACTTACTGCAAATCATTTCCCCATTTAATAGTTTCCCTTTTACATTTGAGATGCATTAGTTTCTTCATGTGATAAATCCCCACCATTTTATTTTGTATGATCTTCTCCATCCCTTATTGGGTGACACACTTTGGTGACTTGGTTGAACACAGGGCTACTATACTCATTCTCTTTCGTATATTACACAAGTAATCTGTAGGAGCTCTCTGTTTTTAAGTAGTATAAGAGAGTTTGAAGAATTACCACTTTCTGCTTCACATGGTCCTGCTAGGCCTCCATCCTGGAACACTGAAGAGGCTTTGAAAAGAGACATATGAACATACTTTTGATGAGAACACAGATTTAAAGTTGGAAGGGACCATAAAGGCCACCAAGTCCAACCTCTTCATTTTGGAAATGAGTAAACTGAGGCATAGAGAGGTTGAGGGACACAGCTAGAAAGCATCTGAGGCAGGGTTTGAATATACTGTTCTGAATATCAATTTGAATAAAAAGAAAAGTGATTAAGCTATCCATACCTTTTAGCCCACTGACTTTGCTATGAAACTTAAGATCCTAGGAAAAACAATAACAATAAACAATAAAGTTTGCATTTGCATAGTGATTTAATGCTTGCAAAGGACTTTACAACTATTGTCTGATTTGCTCTTCTCATGGATCCTTGAAGGTAGGTATTATTACTATCCCTACTGTCTAGCAACTTCCATCTTCCAGCAAAAGAAATGTCCTCATTGAGCATATTCATAAATTTTATCTCTACTATGCATCTTTTGATAAAAAGTAAGAGATGATCTCTGGGTGAAGGCCTTCCCACATTGAGCCCATACACAGCTTGTTCACAAGATGTATTTTCTGATGTTTAACATACTCTGTACTTCATTTGATTGCCTTTACACATTCATTACAGGGATATGATTTCTATCTTATGTGAATTCACCAAGGGGAAATTAGGGATGACTTTGGTCTAAATGCTTTTCCATATAGATTATATTAATGAGGTATTTCTTCTAGTATGGATTGTCTGATATGTTGTGAGAGGAGATTGTACATTAAAAGCTTTACCACATTCTAGACACTCCTAAAGTTTCTCTCTAGTGTGGATTCTCTGATGATAAGTAAGACTGGAGCTATTTGTGAAAGCCTTTCCACACTGATTACATTTGTGAGGTTTCTCTCCACTGTGGATTCTCTGATGTTGAGCAATATTGGACCTGCATCTGAAAGCCTTTCCACACTGATTACGTTCATAAAGTTTCTCTCTACTGTGGATTATCTGAAATTTACAAAGAGTGGATGAGCATCTGAAAGCCTTTCCACATTGATTACATTCATAAGGTTTCTTTACGTTGTAGATTCTCCGATGTTTAGCCACTGTAGCCCTATATTCACTATACTGGGCATAGTCATTTCATGGTATCATTTTTAGCTTTAAAGTAGACTTCTTCACTTCAAAACTGGTCTCTGCAATGGATTTTTAAAAGTCTGTTTTTTCTGATTTTTCAAGAATTATAAATGAAAACTGAACAGGACAAAAAGTAAATTGTCCTAGCTTTTTGGGAAAAAAAATAAAAGCAAATAAATAAACAAATTTTAAATCTAGCCTCCAAACTCCCAGAATATCTTCTTCTTCTCTCTTACATGTGGACACATGTTGATAGTTAATATAACAATGTCAATAATAGAATATTGTGGGGTGTGATACAACATGCAAGAACAAGGTCTCACATATTTAGAGGCAGAAGGGAACTTGGAGGTCTCCCAGTACAGTACATTAAATTTTGATAGGAGGACAGTGAGGCTGAGAGAGGGTGACCTATTAAAGGTCACACAAGTGGAAGTGGCAGAGCAAGGACTCAAACCCAAGCCCTGACTCCAGAGTGTGCTCTTTTAACCATACCATACTTACTGGATCAGTCTTATCAAGCTAGGAGAGACTACCAAGAAGGACTCACTGTGACATACTGTGTGCTTGTCTTCTGTGGCCTAGCTTGAAGAAGTTCTGCATCAACATTGGCTATCAGATGGTGAATCGAGTCACTACAGCTCATGCAAAACAATTTAAAGCAAAGTAATAATCATAACCTCATAAGGCGTGCTGGAAGGGACCTTACAGGTCACCTAGTTCAACCCTTTTATATGACAAAAGGAAAAAGAAAGAAACAGGGTCAGAAAGGAATTAGTAATATTAATTGACCCTCACTCAAATCTTTAGGACCTCCAATCCAAGACCACCATGCTGTTTCTCATTCAAACAAAACATTAAGTGTAAGGGACTGGTTGGGCCTCAGTACTAAAGGGGGTATGTGTGGAAAGATATTATCTTCTTCTTCATAAAAATACTTTAGGCTATGTGACTCTACTCTTTGCCTCTCTGAGGAAAATTAATGTTGGATTGTATTATTTATTATCAATATTCTATGTGATTCCATCTGTTTCCTCAGACTCACAACCTCTGAAGGTTGGGCAGTTTTTGAAGGGTGTAACTGAGTATGGTAAAATCTACTTCAAGCCCCCAGAACATCTACCTGGGCTCAACAGCAGTAATTTGTATCTAATATTCCCCTGTGCTAGTTTTATCTCAAGGGCTAGCTTGATTCTTCAAATCCTTCTTTGTGCAATACTTATTCTACAAATATACCCAGTTTTTCTTTTACAATTCTTAAAACATGACCTTCTTTCAGATAGTAGAAATATCTAGCCTGGGCCCTAGGCTTAGATTTTCATTTTTCCTTATCTTTTCCCTCATAGATATGGTGGGCTGTCTCTTTTAACTCATCAATTCCTTTTTCATGCCACCCTAGGTAATTCTTACAAAATTAGTTTCAGAGCCCAATTAAATATGGATTTATAATTTCTAATATTTAAAATCCATTTTACTTAGGCTTTTAAAAAATAAGCATTAAGTTTCACTCACCCTCAAGTCACTCCTTGATTTAAACAAACTTTTCCTTTCTGGGTCAAGATGAATATTCATATTGTAAACTGTCTTTGAAATCTTACTGAAACTGACTTCCAGGGGTCTGCCACCTTTGAAACTAGAGTGGGAAAAAAACCCCTCTTTCCCTAAAACAACAAAAAGCAGTCTGTATAATCTTTTCTTCTCCTAAAACACACTCTGCAGTTTTGAGATACCACAAAAACCCAGCATTTACAAGTACACTTAATTCATGGCAGTTTAAGGCTGATTGTATTCTATGCTTATGCTTATGCTTACTTTTCACGGCCACAAGAAAAGTTAACGTGCTATATCCCAACATAGAAACACAAAAAAAGATATAACACAAATAAATATAAACACAAAAACACAGGCACAAGACTGATTGAATTTCTTTAGGTGTTCCCCACAAGTCCTAGTGAAGACAAAGAATGCAAGGATTCCCCACTGAATTTGGATAAGCTATCTTTCTATTACAATTTTGGATCTCTAAAAAGATCATGCTCCCTGGGACTGCCCTGCTATATGTTCTGCCAAAGTTTTAATTGTTTTTAAAATAGAATAGTATGAGAGCAGAACCTGGAGACCGTCTTTCTTTTTATGGTAATCAAATATAAATAAAATGAGGAATTAATGCTACAAGACAGACAGGAAGACATTAAGCACCTCTTGCACTTAATGGAGACCACCACAGCAAAGATGCATCCGTAGTCACCCTCTCTAGTATGGATGCAGCTTCCTTCATGAGGGTTTGTGCCTTTATTTATTTGTTTGTTTATTTATTTTGCTATATCTGTGCATAGTCTTGCTTGTTAGCTGCCACTCTGAAGCTCTGTTGACTTGCTTTATATACTAGTAATTATTTAAGCTAACAGTAAGCAGAACCAATATTAAATCTTTGGAGTGTTGAATTCAAGAGCTTCTTGACACTAAGTACAAAATTTGTGGCCTTGTGAATGACTTGGATGTGAAATAAACATTACAAAGAGGCCAGAGGAATATTTGTAGTCAACAAATTAGCTAAATCAAATTAGCTGATTCCAATATCCCTAAAGAGATTGAAGTTGAGAAGAATACCTGGAAACTATTTACCCTGCCAGAGAGAGGACAAAGCTCAAGATTCTTGCAGAGGGAGTGATAGTAGGTAAGGAAAACTAATGGTCTATCTCAAGGCACTCTCAAAGTTTATGAATGTGGCCTGATGTCAGAGAATGCTGAGTACAACCAATCCGATATATAAAAATAAAATAAAACTGTGTAATAAAAGAAAAGTAGCAATGAGGAGTCTGCACAGAGTTGGTGTTCTATTTCTTAACTCATTCCATCATGAAGGAGAAAGTGTCCCTGAAGAGAGAAGTATAACTTCCTACTTACTCCCCAGGTAGATTCCACCAAATCACAAGACCAAAAAGACTAGAAAACTATGAGGGTCTCCCTTAAAGCTGTAGCTACATGCAAGTTCCAGTGACTTCAGAAGACTCTTAGGGAAGCCTAATTGGCTACATGGTGATAGAAGACAGAAAAAGAAGCCACGTTACTCTGGAGTTCGTCTTTTCTGACCAAGTCAGGGTAGAGTGAAGGCTAACTGCTTTTACACACCTGATGGCAATGAGCAAAAGATGGAATTGAAAACACTGGGAGTAAAGACAAAGCAGGGACCAGATAAGACAAAAACAGGAGAACTGAATCTGTAGAGACTTGAGGACAAATCAGGTGCAAACAACAGGTGTGTTGTCAGTGGGATATCTCAAATCTAGTCAATGTTTCCTTTGCTATGCCTTCTTACTTGTGAGTATATTCAGAAGGGAAAGAAAGAAACAAGGGAAGAAAGAAAGAAAGAAAGAAAGAAAGAAAGAAAGAAAGAAAGAAAGAAAGAAAGAAAGAAAGAAAGAAAGAAAGAAAGAAAGAAAGAAAGAAAGAAAGAAAGAAAGAAAGGAAGGAAGGAAGGAAGGAAGGAAGGAAGGAAGGAAGGAAGGAAGATCACAACATACCTGGTTGCAGCCTTTTGTAACTTGTGCGTTTAAAGATTTATTTGCATTTCTATGTTACTTAAAGATTGAATTAAATGGTGAAGAAATTAATAGATTAACAGGGTTTTATTAGTAATTATTACTTACTAGAGGATAATTTAGAACATACATATATCTTGTAGGAATAGTCACTGCATTGAGCTCAATACTATAATGCTTTTTTTAAAGGTTAATTCCCTCTTTCCAACAGCAGCACCTCCCACCCAAACCATAAGTTCCTGTTTCCAATAAGCTTCATAGGCTGGTAGTAGCAACCTCTTAAAAGACTGCTAAGACGTACTTCTCAAAAAAAAATTCACAAATTGATAGACATGAGCTCTAACTCAATAAAATAGGAAATCCTGTAGTTATCCCATCCTAGAAATGCCCCATTATGTCCCCAACATGCCCAGCAGGCCAGTATTGGAAATCAACCTACTTCCCTGTTCTTGTTATGCTACCCTATTCTTGTAAATGATATGAGGAATCATTAATATCATGAATATGTATTAATCTTATGAATATAGCTTCTCTTTTTTACTATAAAAATGAACTCAGAGCAGCTAGGTGGCATGCTGGATAAAGCACTGGACCTTGAGTCAGGAGGACCTGAGTTCAAATCTGGCCTCAAGACACGTAATACTTCCTAGCTGTGTGACTCTGGGCAAGTCACTTAACCTCAATTGCCTCACAAAAAACCCCCCCCAAAACCAAACTCTCTAAATCATCCATTTGTTGCTAATTACTGAGGGATTTGTTATTGCATCATTTCAGTCATGTCTGACTCTTTGTTACCCCATCTAGAGTTTTCTTAGCAAAGATATTAAAGTGGTTTGCCATTTCCTCCTTCAGCTCATTTTATAGATGAAAAACTGAGGCAAACAGGGTTAAGTGACTTGTCCAGAGTCAAATAGTTAGTTGAGTGTCTGAGGTCAGATTAGAACACAGATCTTCTTGTTCCATGTCCACTGTTCTATGTGGGAGCCTGAGTCTTTATGGAAAATCTCTGAGTCCTTATAGACTTTAGGGGTCAGTACGTATAGAGGCTTGCCTCAGGATAAACGCTCCGGTGACTCTTGCCCTAGCTCCATTTGTTCTGGTTTGTTGATTCTAAGTTCTTACTCATGCCCATCCTTGAGACTAGGTGGCTGACTCCGGTAGACAATATTAAGAACTGGGCAGGAAAACAATAGATATGAAATTTGGCATTGAAACTATTTTCTCATGAGATAATGAGGATCTTTAGCTGCTTAGATTGTTTATGTTATTAATTAGCGCTTGTAGATCATTTCTCATGGTACAAAGCTGTTTTCTATATAATCTTGTACCCCCTGAAAATAAACCAGTCTTATGAATATCAGTCTCAGACTTGCCTAGCCCGACTTTTCTTTCTCCAGTTCCCCTTCCCCTTTTTCTTTCACTGTTCTGTCGTACATTCATGTCGGTTGTTGCCAGTTCTAGCCGCTGTGCCACCTAGATGATATCCTAAATCTTAAATTCTGTAATTCTAGGATTCAGTGAATTCTCAAGATTTTCAGATCTACTTTCTTTTTTTTAAGCTTGGGTCTCCTTATCTTGCCCAGGTTGGAAGTGAGGCAGCCACTCGTGGGATTGATCCCACCACTACTCATCACAGAAACTTTGACCTGTTCCATTTTGGACCCAGACCACTTCTCCCTTCCATAGGCAGCCTGGTGAACCCCACCTAGGGGTTCACCGTATTGATTCTACACTTAGTGTGGTCACTCAGTAGGCTTAGCCCTAGCTCACAACTCCTAATTTCGAGCAATCCACTAGCCTCAGCCTAGCCTCAGAACAAGGATTACAGGCATGCTTCACCAAGTCTGGCTAGATCTCTCCTCTGTGTGTGTGTGTGTGTGTGTGTGTGTGTGTGTGTGTGTGTGTGTGAAACTCCATGGACTTTTTGCTGCATGAGATTATTTAAAGTCATAATTCTTCATAGGTAGAAGAGGAGAAGCAATGTCAAGATCAAAAACACCCTGGATGACTCCAAAAGTTGAGAGTTAACACAGCTCGTACTTATTTATGAAAGGTCTAAATGTGAGTAACACTTGTGAACCTGGGCTATTAGGCTACATCCTCCAAAACCCTCTGAAGATGACCTGATGGGTGATAGGTACATCACTATTTTATAATGTTGGTTCATTATGATTGCAACAGGAAATCTAAATTGAGGCAGATGCTATTATTTCCCTTCCAAAACAACAGCAACAGTTCTAAGATCAAAGCCTCAAATAAGACAAAAAAGAACTAATGGGCCTCTGTACAGTGTGTTCAGAAACATAAGAGCTAATTAAATGATATTTCAATCCTTCTATACTTCAAACCTGTAGCCATCTCATTGTAAAAGTCACTCCTGTAACATGATCAAGTTTCTGAAACTCCACCAACAAAGATTTTTATTTCAGACTTTTATTTTCAGTTTGGAAATAACTTTTTGTGGGGAGGGGGAAAAAGGAATTTTTGTTTTTAAAAAGTTTTGTTTTTTAAATTTCCAAGTGGCTTTGGTTTTACTTCTCCACACTTTGTAGGTAAGCCAGAACCTTGTCTCCATGACAATAATAATGGTGATGACAGAGCCTTTGTCAAGTGAGTATGTGCCAGGCACTGAGCTGAGTATTGGAGGTACAAATAGAAGCAAGCAACACAGTCTTTACCCTCAAGTAACAGATTCTGATGGGGGAAGACAATGTAAAGAAGAGGCATAAGGAGAAAGCAAACCAGATTTGGAAATGGCCAGAAAGTGATGTGGAAGCCTGGTTCCAGAGAAGATAAGGCAAAAGCTAAAGGTGCATGGGATGGGGAGGCAGGAGGTAGAGATGTGGTGGGAACCTAGGGTCCCAAGCTCTAAGGGGAGAGAGATTAAGAGCAAGGCTAGAGTTGGGGCACCTAGGTGGTAATGGTGAATAGAGCACTGGGCTGGGAATCAGGAAGACATGAGTTCAAATTCGGCTTCAGACACTGACTAGCTATGTGACCCAGGGCAAGTCAGTTAACAATTTGTCTCAGTTTCCTCATCTGTAAAATGAGCCGAGAAGGAAATGGCAAACCACTCTAGTGTCTTTGTCAAGAAAACCCCAAATGGGGTCATGAGGATTCAGACATGACTGAACAAACAAAACAAGAGTTCAGGCAACATGGTTTGGAAGTGGCTGGAAAAATGACTCAGAGGCCTGATTCCTGGCAAAATAAAGTGAGAACTCACCTATCAAATCTGAAGATAAGGTACACCAGCATATGTCTCAGTACTATGACAGACGCTGTGAGGAATATTAAAAAGACAGTCCCTGCCATTGAGGAACTTAAAATTTACATTTTTCCTTATAGTTGTAGAGAATCCTGCTAAAAAAAAAAGGCGGGGGGAATATCACAAAAACAAAATAAGGTAACAGATTAGAAGTTGTATAAGGTACTACCCGAATAAAACTCTGAGCCTTCATAAATTGAGTGTTCAGGTGAATAATACTGACGACCTACAAAATTCCTTGTTGGTCTAAAGATGGGGGTAGGGGTTGGGGTGTGGGAGGGGTAGAACTGTGATTTAATCAGTGTAGAGCTTCCTCTACCAGTTTCAGTTGGGCAACTCAGCTCCTCCTCTCTTCTCTCCTCTCACAATCTCTTTTAGTCTTAGAGAGTTGCCTGAGGGCATCTGAGGGGTCAAGTGATTCGCCCAGGGTGACAACAGGTATTAGATGTGGGATTTCATACCTAGATCTTCCTGACTTCACGATCAGTCCTCTATCTGCTATACCACATTGCCTTCATTTGAAACATTGTGGATGTATCTTCTGTTGAGATTATACTTTCCTTACAGTCACTGAATTACAGACTGGTAGAGCTGGAAAAGGTCTCAGAGATCATTCTCATCTAACCCTCTCATTTTACAAATGAGAAAACTGGGGGCCAGAGAAGGAAAGTGTCTTAATTAGTGGCTTTATTATGATGCTGAATATTAATTTATCCTCGGACTCAATTTTAAATATGAGGAATTTTTGTTTCAGGGTTCCATCACCACACACTTCTTAAAGTTTAAAAAAGATTATTTTTGGTATGATAATGAGTATGTTTAGCAACTATGTGACCATCCTCATGGTCTATATGGTCTCCAAAGAGTAAAATAGAAAACTATAGATCTTCATTCCCACCCAAAAGCTTTCCACTGGTAGGACTCTCATAGTCAAAATTTATTTCCCCAAACTTAGACTAACTTGGAACTATGATCAGGGTCCCTACTCTGTTGTAACTGACCATAAATGCTCTACTCCACTCCTGGATCTGTGACACAGAACTGCTATGAACGATAAAGTTGCCAATCAGCACCAGCTATACCTAGTGATAGCAAAGGGTCCCCTGTAATCTCTGACCAGTTGTCCAACCCCCTTACCATCTCTGGGCTGAGAGCTCTTGGAAGCTGCTGCTGCTGGTACTCGACAGTCCTCCAGCTGTGTCACAGACCTCTCCTGTTGACCTCCTAAGAGCTGGGAAAATATCTTACCCTGATGTTTTGTTGGCTTTACTACTCCAAAAGCTGATTTGAGACATTATTTTAAAATTGTTTGGAGGGGAATGTTGAGAGAGTTCAACTAGGTTGCTGCCTCTAATCTGCCACCTTGCCTCACCTCATCCCTAGGTTTATTTTATTAGAAGGAGCTGTGGATGTGCATAACAGTTGAGAAAAGCACCAAATAGAAGAATCCTGCTAATGACAACAGTGAGCAGACAGAACATGTGTGCATGAAAGAGATCATCCTGCTGCTGAAAAAGTGATAAATGACAATAAGAATTGCTCATCAAGGTCAGTCACCTTATTTGTTGTAGGACTGTGTCCCTGCAATTGGGTAAGCCATCTCTCATTCCTAAATATTTCTTCCTTACCCCCAATTCATCTGAATCCTTTCCTTGTTCAAGGCTCAGCCCACATATGACCTCCTCTAAGAACGCTTTCCTGATTCCCAACTATTCATACTGTATCTCCTCAAATATCCTTGGAACTCCTTGATCTTTTTCTTTACCTATTAGTCTACATTGTACTGATTTGTATTCATGTTGTCTCTTCCTCTCTCCACCCCCACCCCCATGTCAATTCCTTGTCAAGAAGGTTGGTTTTGCATTCTCAGCACCAAGGATAGTGCCTGACACATGCTAAGTACTTGTTTATTTTCTTAGTATACACACACACACACACACACACACACACACACACACACACAAACTTTTTTTTGCCAATGGGAAGTTGGTGAGAATTTATTGGTAACCCCATTGAAAAGAGTTTTTTCAAGGTTTCTGGTTTGAGGCTCAAACCAAGAGAAGTGTATTTGGTTCTATGCATTTGACACAAGCACTACATATCAATTTTAATGTCTTTTGTAGTTTGTAGTTTTGCTCTACTACTTAATCTTCATAGGTACAGGGACTGGACCTATGATTTCATTGGTTGAGGGAACCTCTGTCATGAGGAAATGCTCTCTGATATTGAAGATTGCTATTAGGTTCCCCTTTCTAGCAGAAAAGGGGTTGACCAAAGGCTAAATTCCTCTTTCCAGTAGGCATAAGGTAAGTAATCTAATCTCCTAAAGTTAAGTTTCCCCTTCTGACAGCTAGAAGGATGGGAGTTGACCACTAGTTTATCAACCACAAACTATAAGTTTCTCTTTCCCAGTCCCAGTTTCCTTTTTCCTCTGACCCTCTGAATCAAGTTCCCCTTTCTAGAAGCTAAGAGATCATGTCAGTTGATTGGAGGGCCTCTTAGAATATATTTCTGGTTTCAAAATATAACAGAAAAGCAAAATATAACAAAAAAGACTTCTAGGTAGAATTAAGAAAATCTAACTAGTCAGGTGACTTCCCTTGTCCAACTAAATTATGTTCAAAACAAATCTCCATATTTTGTATTCCTCTTTATTGTTATAAAAATTAGTTCTGTAAATCACTTGGAGTCTCTGACCTCAGGGGAGTCAGGTGACCTGATTTGATATGTAAATGCTGGCTTTGCAAATCAAATTATAGATGATTCAGTGATTTGTCCTCAGTTCTTTGTTATTTCAGTTAATTAAAAAAATTTATTTTTAGTTTTCAACATTCATTTCCATAACATTTTGAGTTCTAAATTTTCTCCCCCTCTCTCCCTTCCCCCCTCCCCAAGACAGCATGCAATCTGATATAGGCTATACACATACATTCATAGCATACATATTTTCACATTAGTCACGTTGTAAAGAAGAATTAGAATCAATGGGAGAAACCACAAGAAAGAACAAAAAAAGAAATTCATTCAGACTCCGTAGTTCTTTTTCTGGATGTGGATAGTATTTTCCATCATGAGTCTTTTGGAGTCGACTTCGATCCTTGCATTGTTGAGAAGAGTTAAGTCTATCAAAGTTAGTGATTGCACAATGTTGCTGTTACTGTGTACAATGTTCTCCTGGTTCTGCTCACTTCACTCAATATCAGTTTCGTGTAAGTCTTTCCAGGTTTTTCTGAAGTCCACCTGCTCATCATTTCTTATGGAACAATAGTATTCCATTATAATCATATGCCACAACTTGTTTAGCCATTCCCCAATTAGTGGGCATCCCCTCAATTTCCAATTCTTGGCCACCACAAAAAGAGCTGCTATAAATATTTTTTGTACTTGTGGGTCCTTTTCCCATTTGTATGATCTCTTTGGGATACAGACCTAGAAGTGGTATTGCTGGGTCAAAGGGTATGCACAGTCTTATAGCGCTTTGGGCATAGTTCCAAATTACTCTCCAGAATGGTTGGATCAATTTACAACTCCACCGACAATGCATTAGCGTTCCAATTTTCCCACATCTTCTCCAACACTTGTCATTTTCCTGTTTTGTCATGTTAGCCAATCTGATAGATGTGATATGGTACCTCAAAGTTGTTTTGATTTGCATTTCTCTAATCAATAATGATTTAAAACATTTTTTCATATGACTATATAGCTTTATTTCTTCATCTGAGAACTGACTGTTCATATCCTTTGAGCATTTTATCAATTGGGGAATGAGTTGTATTCTTATAAATTTGACTTAGTTCTCTACATATTTTAGAAATGAAGTCCTTATCAGAGAGACTGGTTGTAAAAATTCTTTCCCAATTTTCTACTTTCCTTCTAATCTTGGTTGCATTGGCTTTGTGCAAAAACTTTTTGATTTAATGTAATCAAAATTATCCATTTTGCATTTCATAATGTTCTCTATCTCCCGTTTGGTCATAAATCCTTCTGTTCTACATAAATCTGACACATAAACTATTCCTTGTTCTCCTAGTTTGCTTATAGTATCAGCCTTTGTTTCTAAATCATATACCCACTTTGATTTTATCTTGGTATATGGTGTAAGATGCTGGTCTATACCTAGTTTCTGCCATACTACTTTCCAGTTTTCTCAGCAGTTTTTGTCAAACAGTGAGTTCTTATCCCAGAAGTTGGGGTCTTTGGGTTTATCAAACAGTAAATTACTAAAGTCATTGACTACTGTCTTGTGTACCTAACCTATTCCACTGATCTATCACTCTATTTTTTAACCAGTACCAAGTAGTTTTGATGATTGCTGCTTTATAATACAATTTAAGATCTCGTATGGCTAGGCTACCTTCCTTTGCATGTTTTTTTTTTCATTAATTCCCTTGACATTCTAGACCTTTTGTTTTTCCAGATGAATTTTGTTATTTTTTCTAGCTCTATAAAATAATTTTGGTAGTTTGCATAAGTAAATTAATTTAGAATTTTTTATTATATTATTTTTATATATTTTTTTATTATATTAGCTTGGCCTACCTATGAGCAACTGATATTTTTCTGGTTATTTAAATTTGAATTTATTTGTGTGAAAAGTGTTTTGTAATTGTGTTCATGTAGTTCCTGGGTTTGTCTTGGCAGATCTACAGTATCAGTTAATTAATTTTAACAGATGTTTTATACTATAATTGGAACAAATTACACAGGATGAAGGCATGGATAGGTTGTGCTCTGCATTAGGGGAGAATGAATCTGCACAAGTGAGATCACAGATTAATTGAAATGCCAAAGTAAAGATAATACTAACAGCAATATTGTACATAAGCACAGGAAAGGGGATCCTCCCCGAACTGGTGGCTGGAGAAGGGGAGGAAGGAATTCTGCATCCAGTTGCTTCCATTGTGGCAGAGGTAGGATTGTGCCATTTATGAAGCAGCAACAATAACAGCTGACCCCATTTTAAAACAAAGTAGAAGTCCTAAAGTGGGGGAGGGAGATGAGGGAAGGACAGTTTGCATAAATCATTTCTGCAGCTTAGAAACTTGTGTAGATATGTTCACTCTGCCCTCACCAAGAAAAAGCAGCAGACACATAACAGGAACTGGTCTTAAACATATGTTCCCTTCACTTTCAGATAAGGTCAGTTCTTAATTCTTAGATGTCCACTAAGTCTTATATTACTGTCATTTTCAGGCATGTTATTTAGCAATGCCCTTTAATCAAATAAAAAGATGAGGCAATAAAAAGTACACTACCCAGCAAATAATGATGTTATCTTTATTGAAATTCCAAAAACTTAAGTTACAGAACACACATAAATTCTCTTCTTTCACATCCAACCACTAAGAAGAAATGTAAGGGTGAAAAAGCACTGGCTTCAGAAAAATGATTTGATCTAGAACCATGAAAAAAATTCTCAATTGAGATTAATTTCCTTAACATTTAATACAGATGCATTTTCCATTTTTTTTTAAGGAAATCATCAACATAATTTTTGGTCATTAGTTTACAATGAAGCCTTATAATCCTCAACTAAAATAATAAATTGAAATCCACATAGTATACAGTGTGTGCACAGAAACCAGCTAATTGTGGCAGGGTCTCTTAAAAATCAGAATGAGTTGTCATTTTATTTTTCAGAGGAGTTTGGAATAGTACACCCTATCATTTCTTTGGCATGGTTTTCTTTTATATTGTCTTATCTAGAGGCCAAACATATTCATACATTTATTTTCATAGTGACTTGGGAGAAACTTGGTGGCACATGCCAAGGAGATCACATATTCTAGGACAAGATAACCTTTGCATATTCACTATAACGTTAGAAGCCTTTAACAGGTGTTCCTCAAACTGCGATGTAAGGAAGTTCCAAAGGCATCCTGGAGACAGGAGCCACACAGCTCGGCAGTTTTACTTCATGTTCTCATCTCTGCTCTTTACTTTTCCATCTTAGTTTTTCAATAGTTAACATTTACTGATCCAATACATGCATATCATTACGCTAATTTATCATTTATGATAACATATTTTATTTATGATGTTATTTATTTATTGTACCAGCTTTCCCCATTAGTGTTCCCTTTTCTGAGTGTTCAAAAGAAAGTTAGAGGGGCAGTTAGGTAGCACAGTGGATAGAGCACCAGACCTGTAGTCAGGAGGACCTGAGTTCAAATCCAGCCTCAGATCAAGCACTTGACACTAACTGTGTGACCCTGGGCAAGTCACTTAACCCCAATTGCCCCCCAAAAAAAGTTAGAACTGTTACACAGACTGTTGGCAAATGGAATAATTTTGCAAATTTACAAATTAAAGTTCTGTTTGCAGTTTTATGTAAGGGACAATAATTTATTAGTTTAGAAAAGAACCTATGCTTGAGAATATTGAGTACGACTAGGCCCCTGTTACAATTTGTATGAGTCTCACAGAACTAGGAAATTTAAGCACAATGGCTATAGAGGAAGTAATGACTCTAACAAAGATGGAGACTTCCATGAGGAAAGAATTGTAAAGATGACCCTGAGAACTGAATTTACTAATGTTTGTGTAGGATGTGATCATCAACTTGGTCTGATGGTCAAGCCATAATATTCCCAATTCCTAATTTCCATAATTTCAATAATGTAGAATTCTACTTAACTTTTTTCTTCCTCTTTCAGAGGACAGGAATGATAAAGAATATAGTAAGAAAAGGTAAAGCTTCTGAGTAAAACCATTTGAGAACCAGTTTTAAAGTAAATGCAATGTTCTGGAAGGCTAATTTGGAAATCAGTGATACCTATATGAATGTGTAGGGTTAGTCTGATTAGCTCTTTCACCCAGAAGGGGTAGAGGATATGTAGATACAGCCAGCTAGAGTGACTGATGAACAACTCAGTGTAGGTCCTGACTCCAAAGGAATTATAACAATGTCTGGGTTTTAGTTTGTTTGACCTACTTATGTTTGGAGTATTCAATGGCAGCTAGAGTTTGCTTACCCTAGTGCAGCCAGCCCACTTCCTTCTAGATTGCCAGCAGTTGTTAGAGTGCTATTGGGTTTTATACTGGGGACAGAGAGGCAGCTTCCTGGACACTGCGTACCACCTGTGGCTTAGCCACCTACATGTCTGGCTTCATTTCCCCAAACTAGGACAAAGTGAGAAACCAGGATTTAAAACAGAAGGCATACAGGTCTTGTACCCTTTCTGTATGAGTACATCTACTAAGCTGGTTTGTAATACTATCAGTAGAGAGCATAGTTAAATCAAGTTAGTGTGAGGCTTTTTCTGTTTCTTTAATTCCCCAAATCTGAATACCTAGTGACTCACCACTTACACGCAATGAGGACTGAGTCACAATAATAGATCTAGAGAAAACCATCAAGATTCTCAGGTCCAACCCCATCAATTTCCTGGTGAGGAAGCTAGAACCTAGAGAGGCGAAGTGACTTGCCCCAAATCATACACCCAGTAATTGTGTGCCAGGACTAGGACCTGGACTCTCCTCAGCATTATTCTAGTTGTTGTTGTTTTTTTCTCTCCATTACTCTATGGTGCCCAGAGTTTAAGTGATTTAATCTCTGCGGCAGTCCAAGTTTCTCATGTGACTGAACATGGCACTTAAGCAGAACATGCATCTTTTCGTTTTTCCAGAACATGAATCTTCAACATGATACACAAAAGGCCAAAACAACTTTAACCCAACAGGTGATATACAGGAGACAATGGATACAAATGGATTTGGCACATGCATTCATTCATACTCTCACAGCAGTGAGTACCAACAAGCAAGTGAAATCTTCACAGAAAAAATTTATCTAAAAAGTCTTTGTCAATCCCCCAAACTGAAATTTTCACAGAAAAAAACTAACATTACTGTCCAGTAAATTCCACTGTAAAGAATACATCTCTGTTTTTAATTTTTAATTTTTTTTTTTTAGGCAATTGGGGTTAAGTGACTTGCCCAGGGTCACACAGCTAGTAAGGTCTGAGGCCGCGTTTGAACTCAGGTCCTCCTGACTTCAGAGCTGGTGCTCTATCCACTGTGCCAACTAGCTACCCCCAAGAATACATCTTTGTTACAAACATCTCCGCCCACTCCCATCTTTTCTTTTTGCCAGACCTGTTGAGTTCGTTGGTGGAGTGTAGGGAATCCTAAGGGAGGAAACTGCATTTATCACTGCTCATCAGCAACTTAAGAGTCTGAAAAAGTAGCCAAGGGCACTGAGAGGTTAAATGAGTTGCCTAGGGCCACATACTGAACGTCAAAAGTAGGACTTGAATCCAGGTCTTTCTGACTTTGAGACTGGCTCTCTACTGCCAATAACATTCTGTCTTTCTTATCACCTACCTTTAATAAATAATGCACTGGTATATCTTTATTGGACAAAGACATTTCTTGCTAAAAAGTCAAGTTACCCTCTTACTCTTGACTCCCTATTTATTTGCTTTTTACCTGTTCCCATTTAAAACACTGGCTAATTTAGAGGACTTCATAATGGAATATTTAATCAACAAAAACTCTTTGTCTATGGGTACCTCTCGAAACTATATAATTTTTGTATGTGCTAAATTAGAAAATAATTTATTGCTGGAAGTTCTGTTTCTTGATCAGAAAAATACCCAAGGAATGGGATAAAAGCTTAATAACGAAAAGAGGGCAGAACTGTGTTAGAATTATCTATTTTCAGAAGGCAAGGAATAAATACCTAACATTAACTTACATTTAAAAATGGATGAAAAGTAGTGGTTTTCTGGTTATCTACAGTAATAAATATTTATAAAAGTTGGCATTTTCATAATAATAACAGAATCTACTTTTCATAAAAGTTTCTTGTTTTATTTTTGATAGCCTTTTCAGTTCTCATTCTGAAAATGATTTAAGATTCAATTGAATCTTACTACAGACTACACTGAATCTTAAATGTAGTGCCCTCAATATAAAATATAAGCACAGCAAACTATTATTTATTTGATGATCTTAGCACAACTACAAATACAAACTCTCTCATGAATAGCTATCAAAATAAGAGTATGATGTGTGTAGTGTTGCACTTACTGAGAATAATGTTATGAGCAAACAGTCCTTAAGCCATGTCAAACTTACAAAAAAATAAATCAAGACGGAGTAAATGCACCATGATTGTGACCTTGATAGTTCCTTAAATAATGCTATTCCATCAGAGTATTTGCTACTGTGACAAAAAGTATGAAACCTTTTAAAGCATGAACCACACAAACCAGGAGGATAATCACATTTTTCATGCTATGTAATCATATTCCATCCTTTAATTTTCATCTTCTATGTAAATTGAAAGATTTTTTAAAAAATGTCTTTCATAAACAATGCTTACAAGTTATCAAGCGGGGAAAGCATTTCTTTTTCTTTATCTCATAAATTTCAGAAAATACTTGTAATTTGATTCTTTTTTTTTTCCTATAAATGACTACTTTAGCAAGAATAAATCCTTTTGTCATTAGTTTGTTCTACATATTCCAGTTAATGAAAGCTTGGGATCCAGCCAGGTAGAGGGTTTGGAAAAAGTCTGGGGACCCTGGCAGTCCTATTGGGGGCTACAAGAGGAGGCAGATGCTCCAAGTGAGGAAGGGCTAGCCTTAGACTTTGAAAACTGTCTTAAGACTCCCCAGGACGAACAAAGGAAACAGAGAGAAGTCCCCAGGTGCAGAAGAAGCAGCGACAGACTCCCGAGAGGGAAGAATGACCAGAGAAGCTGGCAGAGTGTAACTGCAGTCACTGTGCTAAACAGCAGTCACACTGCCAAAGGCGTCCAACAAATGAAGAGTCAATGATGGCCTGGATTTTTCCCCTCAATCATTCAAGTTGCCAAAGTTTAGGCCTTGAAATTCTCTCCAGCCAAGGCCAACCTGTACTTAGAAGAAAATACTTCAAGGAAAAGTGGATAGAGCTACACATCCTTATCTCTGTTTCAGAGAAGAAAGCAGACATACATTACTGCTTTCCTGCACACACAGGGAAGACAACAGTTTTCATCAAAGGTACAATAACCTCTTATTTGGCATAGCTGGATATGGGAATATTGTTATTCACTGAATATTCAGGTTAAGTAAGAGTCTTAAACATAGACTAAAATAAATATAATTCTTACTCCAATGATCCACTTACATTATTACTACGGATTAATAATAACTTTGATAATTCAGAAGGTATTTCAGGATTTTATTGGGAAGTCATAATTATTATCATTATCAATAATAATTGTAAAGAACTATAAAAGAAATTATATATTATATATATGCTTTTTGATTGCTTGAATTTTGGACAAATAGGAGTTCATTGCATTTTTTTAGCCAATTAATAGTAAATAATTAATAAAAATAAAATCATAATCTTTTACATTCTTTACAATGTATGTGCTAATATCCACTCTGATGGTTTGGGGAAGATATTTCTTTATTCTTGGTTCTTGGTTAACTTTTAAGGTATTTATTATTAAAGTCTTATTGTTCCCGCAGACAGGATAACAGCCAAGCATGGAACAGCCTATCTCCTAAACAGAAAAAAAAAAGTCTGGCTTGAAAGGCTTCTGGATGAGGTAGGGTATAACAAAAGAAGGTTAAAAAGATACATTAATTTCTAGATCTTTTGATTTTCTTCGAAATTGTTGACACTGAATGGTACAGTTTCACCAAAGTAAATAATTTTAATATACTGTTACTAATAAAGAATGGACACTTGTTACAATATAATATTGAAAAAATGTAAAAAAAAGTGTTCTTAAAATACGTTCTCTTAGTTTTCATCTTATAATACATTTTCACAGTTAAACAAAGAGTAGAAGGCTTGCAATCCTATCACCACTACTTGAAACCAGACGCCACAGAGGTTGAATTTAGACTTACAGCTGGACCTTGCGTAGCATTAGGCAATAGTGTAGTAGCAGGATAAATAATTTCTTCAATAGATACATATGTGCCTACTAAGAAACCAGCAATTCCAATGACTAATATCAAGATATCTTTGAGAATCATCCACAGGCTGAAACTTTCCTTGTAAAATATAAGAATCTCAACTAAAGGTGGCAGAATGAGTGCCAATGTACTGCTGCTCACAGCTCCAACGAGGGAAATCACTATATCCAAACGAGGAATCAGGATTGCTACGAGACCTGTGAAGAAAAGAACAGAAAACACCGGCATGAATGAATTCACATCAAAACAGATATTTTCAGTAGGAAAAAAACCAATATTAAGTGTGGGCATCTTAAAAAAGGATATTAAATTAAACCAGAATGTGGATCTAACCAAAATGGCTAAGCTGTTAACCTTAGGGGAAAAAAGGGCTTTAATATTTTATTTTGAAGCTCTAAGTGAAAGACAATAAAAATGTGATCTACATCTCTTCATTCAATTAGAGCAGCCATAAGGAATCACAGATAGCTTGCTCTTCTTATTTTATAGATGGGGAAAGATAAGGCTTAGACTGATAAAACACTTTGCCCAAAGTCACACCACACTATGGAAGAACCAGAACGAGGCCCCAAAGTTCCAGACTCTGAATCTAGTACCTTTCTATATGCTATACTGCTCTTTATATCTAAACAAAAAGCAATTTTCTTGGAGAAGAGGATGGTGGACATTGCTGCTTCCTAGGAACCCTCAGTCTTAGCCTAGAACTGGGATTATTAGCCTTTTTGTATGCCATAAATCCCTTTGGCAGTTTGGTAAAGCCTATGGAGTCCTCAGAATGATGTTCTTAAATGCATAAAATAAAATGCAGAGGAGTACATAGGAAGCCAATTATACTGAAATACACATCAAAATATATATTTTTTTAAAGTTCACAAAATTAGGGTTAAAACTCTTGGAGGGGCAGCTAGATGGCACAGTGGATACAGCACCAGCCCTGGATTCAGGAGGATCTGAGTTCAAATCCGGCCTCAGACACATAATACTTACTGTGTGACCCTAGGCAAGTCACTGAACCCCATTGCCTAGCCAAAAAACAAACAAACAAACAAAGAACTCTTGGAATAGAGGCTTATACAATGTAGCAGAAAGAATAGAGCAATCTGGGTTGGACACTGGTTCTGACACTGTGTAAGCACAGTCAGTCAATCAACAAACATTTATTTAGTGCCTAAGATTGTGTCAGGTCCTGTGCCAGACCTCTGGAGATTCAAAGACAAAAATAAACAATCACTACTCTCAAATTCCTTAGCCCAAGTTCCAGTTTCTTCATCTCTAATATGGAGATAACAGTTGTGTCACCTAAGTCTCTGGGTCATTATGACAAAAATGCTTTAAGAATCATAACATATTATATAAATGTAAGGCACTGTTAGTTACATCATTCCTTCTTACACATTCCTTCTACAAATCTGGTTCAGGTGAGTGTACACAGAAGTCTGCAAGAAACCTTCATCCTCAAGAACTCGTATTTATTTTGCGTTCTTTGAGATCATGATGCATCCCTGCCTTTTTTTTTTAGCTTCAGCTGAAGCAAAAGAGATTCTGCTCCAACCCCTTATCTTTTCTCCGTGTATCTCTCTGCTTCAAGTGTGTTTCTTGTAAATGAGATATTGTAGGACTCTGTTTTTTAATCCACTCTGCTATCCACTTCCATTTTATGGGTGCATTTCATCCTATTCACATTCATAGTTATAATTACTGCGTACTTCCCTCCAACCCGCATTTATCCTTCTTTCTGTCTCCTTTCACTCCATCCCTCCTCCTAAGTGTTTTGCTTCTGACAACTGCCTCTCCCAATCAACCCTCCTTTCTGTCAGCACCCCCTACTTTTCTTATTCCCTTCCTCCCACTTCCCTGTAGGTTAAGATTGATTTTTATGCCCAACTGAGTATGCATATTATTCCCTCTTTGAGCCAATTCTCATCAGAGTAAGGATCAAGTGTTGCCTGCCTTTCTCTCCCTCAATTCCCCCTCCACTGTGAAAGCTCTTTCATGCCTCTTTTATGTGAGATAATTCTACCTCTCCCCTTCTCCTAGGGCACCCCTCTTTCTCACTCCTTAATTTAATTTTTTGAGGACATTATCCCAATACAGTCAACTCACACCCATGCCTTCTATGTATATTCTTAATAAAAATAAAGTTCTTAGGAGTTACAAATATCATCTTCTAATGTTGGAACGTAAGCAGTTTAACCTTGTAGAATCCCTTATGATTTCTCTTTCCTGTTTACCTTACCTGTTTCCTGTTTCTCTTGAGTCTTGTATTTGAAATTCAAATTTTCTATTCAGCTCTGGTCTTTTCATCAGGAATGCTCAAAAATCCTCTATTTCATTAAATATCCATTTCTTCCCCTGAAGGAAGATACTCAGTTTTGCTAGGTAGGTGATTCTTGGTTATAATCCTACCTCCTTTATCCTCCAGAATATTATATTCCAAGACCTCCAATCCTTTAATATAGAAGCTGCAAAATCTTAAGCCATTGTGACTATGGCTTCATGATATTTGAATGGTTTCTTTCTGCTGCTTGCAATATTTTCTCCTTGACCTGTGAGTGCTTGAATTTGCCTATAATAGTTCTGGGAGTTTTCATTTTTGGATCTCTTTCAGGAGGTGTTTGGTAGATTCTTTCAATTTCTATTATGACCCCCTTATTCTAACATATCAGGTCAGTTTTCCTTGATAATTTTTTTAAATGTGATGTCTAGGCTCTTCTTTTGATCATAGCTTTTAGAAAGTCCAAGAATTCTTAAATTCTCTCTCCTAAATCTATTTTTCTAGGTTAGCTGTTTTCCCAATAAGATATTTCACATTTCTATTTTTCATTCTTTTGATTTTGTTTTATTGTTTCTTGATGTCTCATGGAAGCATTAGCTTCTATTTGCCCAACTGTGATTTTCAAGGAATTATTTTCTTCATTGAGCTTTTGTGTGTTCTTTTCCATTTGACCAATTCTACTTTTTAAGGAATTTTCTTCAGTGAATTTTTTGTACATCTTTTTCCATTTGGCCCATTCTGCTTTTGAAGGCATAAGTTCTTTTCTTCAGTGAATTTATGTGCATTTTTTTTCCAATTTGGTCAATTATACTTTTTAAGGAGTTCTCGTCAGAGGACTTTTGTGCCTGTTTTTACCATTCAGACTATTCTTTTCTTAATGTATTATTTTCTTGAGTAATTTTTTTGTGCCTCCTTTACCACGTTGTTGACCTTTTTCATTCCCTTTGCCATTTTTTCTTCTACCTCTCTTATTTGGTTTTAAATCCCCTTTTTAGCTCTTCCAGGATTTCTTTTTTGGTCTTGAGACCTATTCATGATTTTCTTTGAGGCTGTTCTGCATGTAACTGCTTTGATTTCATTGTCTTCTTCTGAGTTTGTGTCTTGATCTTCCCTGTTACCCTACTAACTTTCTATGGTCAGGTTCTTTTGTTATATTAAAGTTGGTCTCTGCTCCTTGGGTGGAGGGGGCAGTGTTCCAAACTTCAGGCCTTTCTTGCTGTAGCCCCTCAGAGATAGTTCTGGGGGTCTGTAGGTTCCCAGTTCTTCCACAGTGGTATGATCTAAGGAGAGGTGTTGTCATTGCTTTCCTGGTCTGTGCTCTCATCATGAGCACTCTTTTCCACCATAGAACTGTGATCAGCGTTCCCATTTTTGCTTCTCCTCTCCTTAGGAATGAAACTTGGAACTACATATAAGCAATGCAACAGAGTCCTGTACCCAGTGCCAGCAAAAGGCCCCCTGTAATCTTCTGACTAGTTGTCCAACTCCCTTACTGGGCTAAGAGCTCCAGAGGCCATTGCTAACACCAATTCAGTCACTCAACAATGTTAAATACTACAGAGAGGTCAAGAAAGATGAAGGCTGAGAAAAAAACCAGAAAATTTCCTTTTTAAAAAAATCTTTGATACAACAATTATAGATACAGAATCCTTGGGGGGAGGGGAGGGTGGGGAAAACAATTCTGAGTCTGAAAGTCAAATTTAAGTCAGTAGGATGGCTCAGACCTTATGGGAAAAATAGGAACAAAATGAACCTTGTATGAAGCCTAGCACCTCAAGCTTAGAATGTTGAAAAATGAGCTCATTATCATTCTCTTAAAATAGGCATCCATTCCCAATTTCCCCAATATCACCACCACTTGGTTCCCAGGCTTGAACACTTAATATATTTTTTACTTTTTTCTTTTTTCTATTCTAGATTACATATGCAGAAAGATACTCACTTGTTTTATATTATTCTACCATTTGTTCCTGGAATTATTTATTTGTGCCTCACTCTACAGTATATATTTAGTAATTCTATCAATAGTCAAGAACGTGAGCATAAAAAGGTATTTCACAATTTAAGCAAGAGCAATATATGAAAATTAATCAAACATTAAGTACCTACTTATATAAAATCAACTGTACTAGAATCTAGGGCTAAGTCACATTACTATCTTTCAACATGCTTCAAATACAGATATACAAAGGAATTAAATCAGAAGGTCTAAAGAATTACATCAGAAATTCACTCAATAGATTCACATTTTGAATCTTTTGTACAGAATGCTTCCCTGAAGCATTAACTTATTATTCAACTTATACATTCAAATTACAGACTACTCAGGAAAATACTTATTTTGTAAAATGAATACATGTGAATTTTTATTGTCTTTTAAAATATAGTTGGAGAAAGACAGCAATGCTATCACTAAAAAAAAAAAGACTTAAATTATATAGTTAGTAAGGGTCAGAGCTAGAATGACCATCACTGAAAAATGATTTTATGAAAGTCATTTAATCTATCAAGGCCTCAATTTCCTCATCTGTAAAATGAAGAAGTTGAGTTAAAGGGACTATAAGGGTCCCTTCCAACTCTAAATCTATGAACTTATGAACTTTGAATTTAAAGGGGAAAAAATACACATGACTCAGCAAAACAACAAATTCCGTAACTAAATAAAGCTCATAGGCAAAGTAGTTGGAAAAGTCAACCTAACATCAATTCTAACTGTATAGACATCATTGATATTTCTTAACAGTCTATCTTGGATTTAGGGTATAGATGCAAATGTCAGTGAAACACTTAACTATCTTCTTATCTTTACCTAAATAAGCTGTAGCTAATTTAAATACATGAAATTCTAGTGTGCCTTCTACAGTATTTTGACTTTCATTTCATTGAACAGATTTTTTAAAAATTATGCTTCCTGGTCACATACTTTTGAGATGGAGCTTCCCTATCTCCCTGGAAGTAGTGTCCACTCATGGGCCCAATTCCACTACTGGTCAGCACAGGAGCTCTGACCTAGGCTAGTTCCCTCTTCCTCAGCCAGCCTAGTGGACCTCCCAGTCCTGAGGCTCACCATATTGGTTCAGACTTAGTGTTCAAATGTCTTTTCCTACTGTAGCTTAAAACTCGAGCTCAAAAGCCACCAGCTGCAGTTTCCTCAGTAGCAAGGGTATACCACCATCCCTGACAATGTTAGGAACCAAAGTTTCTCCTTCTTCAAATATGTATTTTCAAAACAGTTTCCAAGAGAAAAACAGCAAAGATGATTGGGCAACACTTCCCAAAGAATCCATGATTTCACAGGTACAAGGACACCTTGTACTTATGCAGATCATTGCTAACCTTTTCTACAACTTGATAGGCTCTCTTATTGAATTATTGTTGCTAAAAAAAAATCTTTCAGCATAAGAAGCTTGTCATAATATAAGTTTAGACAAGAATCTTATATGATATACTGTGATAATTTCCAAATGGATCACTGACATAAATTTTTTAAAACTGCACAATTAAAAACTGGAGGGGAATGAGAGATCCTATTTTTTATAACTGTAGATGGGGAAACTACTTATACATATTGGGGAAACAAGCCCATACAAAGAACAAATTGTAAGAGACAAAAGAGACAAGTATATAAAACTAACAAAAACATAAAATGATATCATATTTCATTATACAAATTTTCACACAAAAGCAATGTATCCAGAATTTTTAAAAGCTATGGACTTTGGAAAAATCTTTGCATTAAACATTTATAATGAAAGTTGAATGTCTAAAATCTTCAGGAAACTGACCCATAAGACTGAGAGTCATTCCACAAAAGATAAATTGCTACAGATGAGCTGATAAAGAGGATGAAGTGCAGTTTTTTAAAATAAAAAATTATCAAAAATCACATGAATAGTATTTAGCATCACTAGTTATAAGAAAAATATGAATTAAAACAAGTCTAAGCTATTACCATTCACACATCAAATTGAAAAAGACAGTAAAAGAAAAAAAATATATATATATATAAAATGTTAGGGTTGTGGCAAAAGCATAGTAATTCCCTATAGGTGGAGTTGTGAACTTACCTGAACCATTCTGGAAAGCAACATGGAATTAGAGAACAGAAATTGCAAAAATATTCCTACCCTTTGACCATCGATTCCACTATTTTTTTAATACCCTAAGAAGGCTGACAGGAAGAAAAGACCTATCTGTATAGAAATATTCATAATAATAATGTTTTGGCGGCCCTGGAAAAGAGAGGAGAAAATTTACTTCCCCATGGGTTCAGGATGCTACATGTGAAGTTACTAGATTTGGCTACTTAGATTTGGCAATTAAGAAATTAAAATTTGGAGAATGCAATTTGGATTGAATGATGAGGTCAGAAGCCAGACTGTAGAGATTTAAAATGAGAGGAAGCAGAAGTACCTATTGTAGATGGCCTTTACAAGGACTTTCGCCACAAAAGATAAAGAGAGTTATGGGATGACATGGGGCTACATGGATTAAATGAGGGAGTTTTAAAGATGGAGGAGATATGGGCACGTTTTCAGGCAGCAGAGAAGTAGCCAATAGACAGGGAGAGATTGAACATAAATTGAGAGAGGGTTTGGGGGTAAAAATAATGAGTTCAGTTTTAGACATGTTACATTTGAGATGTCTACAGCACATTCAATTTGAAATGCCTAAGAGACAGTTGGAGATACAAGACTGGAGGTTACCAGAGAGATAAGAGATTTATAGATAAGTAGATTTGAGAATCATTAACATAAAGATGATAACTGAATCCAAGGAAGCTGATGAGATCACCAAGTGAAATGAATGGAGGGAGAAAAGATGAGGACTCAGGACAGAGTCCTGAGGGATAACCAGAGTAAGCAGGTAGGACCTGGAGAAAAATCCAGAAAAGAGACTGAGGAGCTGTAAGATAGGTAGGAGAACCAGAAAAGAATAGTGTCTCAAAAACCTAAAGAGAAGAGAGTATCAAGGATAAGAGTGTGACCAACAGTGTCAAAGGCTGAAGAGAGGTCATAATAAATGAGGACTGAGAAAAGGTTATTAGATTTGGCATTTAAGAGATCATTAGTAACTTTGGAGAGAGCAGTTTCAGGTGAATGATAGGTTTGGAAACCAGTCTGTAGAGAATTAAGAAGAGAAAGTAAGAGGAAATGAGGTGGAGTTATGTATTGTAGATGGCTTTCTCAAGTAGCTTAGTCACAAAAGGTAAGAGAGATATGGGATGAGAGTGAAGATGGATGGATCAAATGCGACTTTTTTGAGGATGAAGGAGAAATGGACATGCTCATATGCATTTGGAAAACAGCCAGTAGATAGGAAAAAAATTGAAGATAAAAGAGAGAATGAGGATGACAGAGAGAACAATCTCCTGGAGAAGACGGGAACACAGAGGGACTATGATTACCCTATTCCCACAAGCTAGGATTGTAGTAGCTTTTTGGGCTGCTGCCAAAATTCTGTTGAACCCAATTAATTGTATAAATAAAAAGGGATGCTACTTGTAGTACCTGCCTCAGAGAATAGTTTTGATAAATAAAATAATAATGTATGTTGTAAACCTTAAAGCATAATGTAAATGTAAGCTATTACTATCATTAGTTACAACTGAAAGGATTTTTTTTGTATTACTGTAATTACTAGGGCAATAAATAATCTTAAAAACAAGAAATAAGAATGAAATAAATTTATAAAGATACTATATTCATTTCTGGGCAACACTCAAAAGAGTAATGATTTTGTTATGATACCAAAAGCCTAAGTGTGAGTAAAACAGCTTTCTTTGTAGAATATCAAAGGTTAGACTAGTAAAAACAATTACTATATAATGAAAATGCCCATAAGGGATCAAAAAGTTAAGATGGCAGTTTTGAATTTGCTTTAAGTTATAGAAGTATTGATTTGTAATTTTAGCATGAAATTATTTCAGATATCTCTTAAAATCCTTATTTATAGAAAAATGTAAAGACTGTATGAAGGATTAATGTCAATATAATAATTCAATTAAAATATGTATTTATACTTACATGTAATAAAAACTAAGAAAGTCCTAATAATGAGTTCACAGATGAGCTTTGATTTATTTTGAAATTTGGATGTGATTCCTGGAATGATGATTTCTGCTGGAACGTAGAACTGAATTGAGTAAGTCACAAAAATTCCAAAGGAATACAGAATTTTCACTGATTGATACAACCTGTCAAAAATATTTGAACAAAGTTCAATTATCACATAAAATGCAATCTCTGGCTTACAGCACTTTATATCTCTCCTTTGCCATTATCACAATTTACATTTGTGTAAATATCATAGATCCCTTCCCCTACACAACCAGTAAGACTATAAGCTCTCTGAAGGTATGTAGTATGCCATTTTTCATTTTTTGTGTCCCTATATATTGTAAAAGGTATGTTCATAGCTTTTCAATTTCTGAAGCTCTTGACTCTGTATTTAGTATTTCAAGATACAAAATACTTTGTGTCTAAAGATGATATAAATCTTCAGTTAAAAAAAAACAAGCCATCTGTTTCTATTTTTATATTTTGACATCTACTATAATTCCTTCTTAGAATGAAAAATCTACATTGTTAAGGGTGGTCTTTCTCCTGATTTCAAAAACATTCATGATAGATCACCTTAGATTATAATATACACAAATTCTTTTTCAACAGATAGTGCTTGCTATTGAGAATCAATCTGAAAAAGCAAGGGAACAGGAGGAAAAATGTACAGAGAAACAACGAAGACATTTATCAGTGATGCAATTTGTACATGGAGGAGGAAAGAGTAACAGTTGTTTCTTTACTACTCTTTGCTATAAGGAGAGGAGAATGTAAGCTCCTTGAAAGCAAGGATAGTCCTCTTTTTGTCTTTATACCCTTGCACCTGGAACAGTGCATTACCCATGTTAGACTCCATCTACCATGTCTGCTGCACTGAAGTCACTGTGGAAGTCAGGTTCAAAAGTGTCCTTACTGGCAATGGTTATGGAAGCTATTAATTGGTAACGGGAAGAAAAAACACAACCTATTTTTTCATAGTACTCAGAGAAGATATATTTCCATAGATCATATCTATAATAATTAGCTCCTCAATCTTACTGATAAAAATCAGTAACGATGTGGCAGTGGCTCTGCTGTTCTCTCTGTTTTCCTCCCATACACCCAGTCCTTCTCCACTGATCAGTTCAGGCTCTGAACAAACAAAATTTACTTGGCTCCCTCTTTGATCTCAATTCTTTCCCCATATGCCAAAGTCCTACTCCTCGATTACTCTATATTTAAATTAAAATATTTTCCTTCTTTATATGCAAAAGTAAATCATAATCAAAACTTCTTGTCTTTCTGTAATGGGTTAAAAATGATGAAATTTTGTATGTCAAATTGAAAAAAAATGACAAAGAATGTATTTTTAAAGTTAAAATTTACATTTACCAAATTATAAATGTAACTAATTTATATTAGTATTGAAATTACAATAAATGGAGCAAAAATTATATATGTCTACTTACCATTCATCTTGAGGAAGATTTAAAGTTATGCTGCCTTTGATTTCATCTTGAAAGCGCATATATCCTAGGGTGGCTAATGTTATGTACAGAGTAGTAACAATCCCCATGCCAATGTTCAATGCTTCTGGGAAGCGTTTTGTTTCTTTCATTTGATTTTCTAATGGGAGTACCTGAGGATGGGGAGAGATTAAAAAAAAAAGATATGCATAATAAAATCATAGAATTTTAGTGTTGAAGAAGACCTTAGAGGACTCAAGTCTAATCTCTTATTTTATAAATGAGGGAACTGAAGTAAAGAAAAATGAAATGATTTACTAATGTTATAGATTCAAAAGTAGAACCCAGATGGCCTGATTAACAGTATAGGACTTTACTTTCAGTTTTACTGATGCCTTTTCTTTTTTATCAGTCATTTCTGGTCATACCCTGTCTCACCCAGTGAGCCTTCCTTTATAACAGAGAAAGAATCAAATAAAACCAACTGACATAGTTGGCAGCACATTGGCCCTGGAGTCAAGAGGACCTGAGTTCAAATCTAACCTCAAACACTTCCTAACTATGTAACTCTGGACAAGTCACTTAACCTTAGTTTCCTCATCTGTAAAATGAGCTGGAAAAGGAAATGGCAAACCATTCCGGTATCTTTGCCGAGAAAACCCCAAATGGGGTCACAGAGTCAGACACGACTGAAACAACTCAACAACGACTGACATAGACCATGTCTGACTATACAGATACCATTCTGTCCTCACCTCTCCAAAGAAAGAATGGAAGTACATTTCATCTCATCTCTTTTCTGGGGCCAATATTAATCATTATAATTACGTATCATTTGACTTGATTTTACTTGTGTTTGTATATGTTATTGAAGTCACTGAATATATTGTTTTCCTGGTTCTGCTTACTTTACATCAGTTCATACAAGTCTCCTGATGTTTTTCCAAATGCCATCATAACAATCACTTCTTATGGCTCAATAATATTCCATTACATTCATATACCACAATTCATTCAACCACTCCTCAATGAATGTATACCCACTCTGTTCCCAAGTTTCAGCTACCACAAAAGTGCCACTACAAATATTGTGACCTTTCTTTCTGTCCTTGATTTCCTCAGAGGTCTAACATGAGGATTTCTGAGTCAAAAAGTATGAAGCTCGGTGACTTTTCAAATAATTGTGTGTGTATACACACACACACAGAGATAAATGGTTCTTAAGTTACATAAAGTCACATTACACAAATTCAATTTTATATAAAAAATTCTGGAAAAAGAATACACATTTCAAAAAAACCCACCTATGTCAACTTTACTGCACAATATTGTGCTCTCTTGCCAGTCCTGACCTTCAGCTCAGTGCTCTGTAGTTTCCCATCTACCCCACCCCCACAAAAATTCCTTTAAAAAAAAAAAGCACTCTCTAAGGGAAAACAGAACAGACTTCTGGAGAAACTGCACTGTTGCCACCAGACCTCCAGCCCCAAGAGAGGAGAACTTTGCCCCGCTCCTTCTACCCACCTGCATGTCTGTCTTCTGTCAGTCCATCCTCAGGTACCATGTATCTGTCCCTGGTCCCTGATTCCTCCTCCTGCTATTGTTTCTCTGTCTCCAGCCCCTACATGTCCTTGAAGCGTGTGCCAGCCCATTCCTGCCTCCTTTCCTCCCATCCTTTTCCACATTAGTGGGCAAATTCACATTACATAAAACTCAGTTTACAGAGAGGTCTGTGGAACAGTCCACTTAACACAAACCAAGAACTGTCTGTATACCTGTTAGTTCCTTATACACATTTTGGATATCAGAAATATTTGATGCAAATAATTTTTCATCAATGAAAGTTTTCCTTATTATCTATATTGCTTTTATTTGTGCCAAAAAAATTTAATTCTGTGTAGTTGAAATTGTTTTGCTCTATTTTGGGTGTTTAAAAGAAGATTCAATGTCTGCCTTGGAAATTGGTACTTAAGGGGAAGCTTGAAAGAAACAAGGCATTCCAAAGAGCAGAGGTGAGATGGGAATGCACTGTAGGCGTGAAGGACAGCTTGGAGATGGATGCAGCATTGTGTGTGAGGAATCTCAAGGCCAGTGTACTTGAGTAATAATATGCATAAAGGGGAATAATGCGTAGTAACGTTTGAAAGGCAGGTAGGAACCATGTTGTAAAGGGCTTTAAATGGGAAACAGGTAAGTCTGCATTTGACCCTAATGTTATTAAGAAGCCACTGGAGTTTACTGAGCAAACGACATGGTCAGACCTGTCCTTTAGGAATATCTATAGGGAGCATGGATTGGAGTATGTATAATATAGAAACGGCCGTGGGGATGGGATTAAGGGTAGAAGTAGGAGGGATGTTGCTGTTAGGAGACTATTGCAATGGACTAGGCAAGGGAAAATGAGGGCCTGAACTAGTTTGTTGTCTGTGTGAGTACAGAAGGAAATGCATATAGGAGACATTGTGAAGAAAGAATAGATAAATTAGACTTTTCTTTTTACATTTTGAGTTCCAAAATCTTTCCCTCCCTCCCACTCCTACTCAACCAATGAGAAGGCAAGCAATTTATCAATTTTACAAGTGAAATTATGCAAATTGTATTTTCACATTAGCCATGTTTCAAAAAAAAAAGCAAGAAAAATAAAATGAGAAAATTATACTTCAATTTGTACTCAGAGTTCATCAGTTTTCTCTCTGGAGGTAGACAGCATTTTTTTTTCATCAAGAGTCCTCTGGAACTGTCTTGCATCACTGTACTGATCAGAGTAGCCAAATCTTTCACAGTTGATCATCATTACAACATTGCTGTTACTGTGAACAATGGTCTCCCAGTTCTTCTCACTTTACTTTGTGTCAGCTCATATATGTCTTCTCAGGTTTTTTCTGAAACCATCCCCCTCATCATTTTTTTTAGCACAATAGTATTTCATCACAATCATGTGCCACAATTTGTTCAGCTATTACCTAGTTAATAAACATCCCCTCGATTTCCAATTCTTTGCCACCACAAAAAGAGCTGTTACAAATATTTTTGTATAGAGGCCCTTTTCCTTTTTCTTCCATCTCTTTGGGATACAGACCTGGTAATGGTATTGCTGTGTGAAAGGACATGCACACAGCACAGTTCCAAATTGTTCTCCAGAATGGCTGGACCATTCACCATACAAACAGTTCATTAATCTACCTATTTCCCTCTCATCCCCGGTAGCATTCGTCATTTCTGATAGGTGTGAGATGGTACCTCAGAGTTGTTTTCATTTGCATTCCTCTAATCAATAATCAATTCCTCTAATTTAAAGCATTTTTAATATGACTATAGATAGCTTTGATTTCTTCCAAAAACTGCCTGTTTATATCCTTTGATCATTTATCAACTGGAGAATGGCTCTTATGATTATAAATTTGATTCAGTTCACTACTCAGTATAGATTTCAGAAATGAGGTCTTTATCAGAGAAACCTGCTTTCTCTGATAAAAAAAATTTTTTTTGATATTATTTTATTGTCTATGCTAACTGAGCAAAATGTAGTTTCCCTGATTATCTCTTCTGATTAGGTCTATTTTTGCTTTTGCTTTGTCTGAGATCATGATTGCTACTGCTGCCTTTTTCACTTCAGGGGAAGCATGTTAGATTCTATTACAATCCTTTATTTTAACTTTGTGTGTGTCTCTTATAAACAACATTGTTATATTCTGGTTTCTAAACCATTCTGCTATGCACTTCCACTTTACAGGCGAGTTCATCTCAATCACATTCACAGTTATAATTACCAACTGTACATTTCCCTCCATCCTATTTACTTCTGTTTAATCCTTCACCTCTCTTTTTATCCTAACCCACCTCTAAAGACTACTTTGCTTCTGACCACTGCCTTCATTTATCTGTCCTCTCTTTTATCACCCTCACTTTCTCTTATTCCCCTTCCCTCCTACTTCCATGTAGGGTAAGACAGATTTCTATTACCAATTGAGTATGTATATATAGTTTCCTTCTTTGAACCAATTTAAATGTAAGTGAAGTTCAAACATCGCCCAACCCCCTCCCCCATTTTCCCCTCCACTGTAAAAACTCTTTTAGGTGAGATAATTTTCCCCATTCTTCCTCTTCCTTACCCCTTCTCTCAGGGCATCCCTCTTTCTCACCCATCTACTTTTAAAAACCTCATCCCAATATAATCAATTCACTCCCATACCCTCTATTTAAAATCCTTTGAACTGCCTTAATAATGAGAAATTTCATAGAAGATACAGGTATCATCTTCCCATACAGAAAAGCAAACAGTTTAACCTTACTGAGCCCCTTAAGATTTCTCTTTCATGTTTACCTTTTTATGCTTCTCTTGAGTCTTATATTTTAAAATCAAATTTTCTACTGAGCTCTGGTCTTTTCATGAGAAGTGCTTGAAAGTCCTCTATTTTATTAAATATCCTTTTTTTCTTGAAGGATCAGACTCAGTTTTCCTGGGTAGGTTATTCTTGGTTGTAATCTTAGCTCTTTTGTCTTCTGTAATATCATATTCTAAGCCTTCTGCTCCTTTGATGTGGTAGCTGCCAAATCTTGTGTGATCCTCACTCTAGCTCCAAGGTACATGAATTGTTTCTTTCTGGCTGCTTGAAATATTTTCTTTTTGACCTGGAGGCTCTGGAATTTGGGCATAATATTCCTGGCAGTTTTCATTTTGGGATCCCTTTCTGGAGGGGATTGGTGGAGTCTTTCAATTTCTGTTTTACCCTCTGGATCTAAGATACTACAGCAGTTTCCCTTGATAATTTCTTGAAATATGATGTCTAGGCTCTTTCTTTGATCATAACTTTCATGACAATTTTTAAATACTCTCTCCTATCTTCCAAGTCAGTCATTTTTCTGATGAGATATTTCACATTTTCTTCTATTTTTTTAATTATTTTGTCTTTGTTTGTTTCTTGATGTTTCATGGACTCATTAGCTTCCACTTGCCCAAATCTAATCTTTTTTTTTTAGTTTTTAAATTTATTTTAAACTTACATACAAAATAAGAAAAAAATGCCATTTACATAGCAGAACATAAAAGAGGATTCAATATAAAGCAATAAATTTCTATTTCACGAAAACCTATATAATGAATATTAGTCTTCAAAGCTGTCCATCTTTTCTTTACTTCCTTGTATGTTTTCTTTTGTCTTCTGCTGTGCACTTTTTACTTTTATTTTTTCCCTTTCCACCCCCTCCTCTCCAGCTATAATTAAGCACAGACACAGACGCAGAGACACAGGCACACACACACACACAGATACACAGATATCCATAAACATACAAATGTATATACATATACACTCAAACACATATATGTAAGATCATATTATGCATATTTCCACTTGTCATCTATTCTCTCAAAGTGGATAGCATCTTCCTTCATAAGTCCATGTCTTTCCGTATTTTTCTAAATCTGCCAGCTCATCATTTCCTATACCACAACAATATTCCAAGCCAATCACATTCTATCTGGGAGATTATCTATGAGAGTTTTTCCCCCCCAATTTTCTGCACTTCTGTCTCCACCACTTAGTCCCACTACTGGTGTTTCATCCACATGGGCACTGGGCAAGACTCTTCCCCTGTGCCACAGATTTCTCTTTCTGACTACCTATGTTGTCTATGTTGTGAATGTCTCACTCTGACCTTTTGCTGGCTTTGCCACTCCAGAATTTGATTTCAGTTGTTATTTTAAAATTGTTTGGAAGGGAATGTTGGGAGAGCTGAGCGGAGTGCTTTTTCTCTACTCCTCCATCTACTTCCCTATTATTGTTGAGGGAACCAACATCCTCCTAATCACCCAGGCTCACAAACCTAGATGTTACCCTCAATTCCTTATTGTCTCTCACCATTCATATGCAATCTCTTGCCAAGGCCTGTTAATTTCATCTTTTAACATATTTCACATTCACACTCCCTTCTCTCCTCTGACACTAACCAATCTGGTATAAGCCCTCATTATCTCATACTTAGACTTTTGCAAATGCTTGCTGTTTGGTCTGCTCGCCCCAAGTTTCTCCCTACTTTAGTCCATCCTCCATTCAACTGTCAAGCGATCTTCCTTAAATACAGTTCTATGTCATCCCTGCTCCATACACATTTCAATAAACTCCAGTGGCTTCCTATCACCTCCAAGATCACACGTAAAACCATCTGTCATTAAAAGTCCTACATAACATGCCCTTCCCCCTGCCTTTCCAGCCTTCTAATACCTTACACTTCCCATCATGAACCTTGGGATCAGTGACACTGCCTTCCTGGCTGTTCCTTGCACAAGACATACTCTATCTTCCAACTCAGTGCTACATGTGTATGTGTGTGTGCATGTATGCATGTATGTATGTATGCATGTATGTATGTATGTATGTGTGTATGTATGTATGTATGTGTGTGTATGTGTGTATGTAGGTATGTATACATATGTACATACATAGCATAGCCTTTTATACATGTATATAGCAGATGTGTACTGAAGTAATATTTATACTTTGACCTCCTGCAATTTTATCCATACAGAAACCTATAATCTAATGTGGAAATAAACAGTCTTAAAATAATAAAATGAAAATGGAAAAATAATGCTCATTTAAAATACTTTTTTATACTTAATGCTTTAAAATAAATTCTTACCACTCCAATGCCCTCAAAAGCAAATACAGCTGTACCAAAAAAGAGTGGATATTTCTTCCAACCAGCCACAGCTGGAAGACTTCGGGGATCTGGTATATCCTGGTGATTGAAGAAAAAAAAAACTTTCACAGATAGGTAGGAATTCTTAATTAATCCAATGAAATTCACAAAGAACAAAATCAATTACCTCCTGGTGCTTCCCAAGTTTTTCAAAACATATAATTAATAATTTTTGTTTTCAAACAAAAATGACTGCAGTTAAAACAGACTTACTCTATCAGGTTTAAACTATCAAAAGCTGCTAATCCCCTGCCCACACAAGCTGTCCTGGGAATTAAATGCTTCCAATTACTTCCTTCTACCAGCAGAATACAGGGTAACTAATAACAGAATTGAATCCTAAAGAAAGAACATGAAAACTCTAGACCTCAGGCAGAAAGCTACCCCAGTTAATAGGTCCTCATTGGTACTGGCATTTTTGGTTTATTTCCCAGCTTTCCTTGCCCTACCCTTTTACACCTTGGGACTTCCTAGTATCTGACAAATGTCTTGGATTTTTACGCCTAAATCCAGATCTTCCTTATGATATCTGTGTGTTCCTGGTTCTTGTCAACCTGGCTTCTGATTTTATTACTTTAATCATTATTTTATACTGATCTGGCTTGTAAGGCTCTTGGCCATGGTCTTGTCCTAACCTTTCATATGAAAATTCTATTGAGACCACTCATCTAGTGCTCTAGTTTGACCACTGGCTTCCATTTTCTATTCTAGTCTGACCCACTTCCATGACTGTTCTCTATCACATGGTCACAGATCTGTCTCAGACCCAGTTTTGTTTTACCTAATGTCCTGCTGCCTGCAGTGCTGGTTCTGACATACTTTTGTTTTTCACAAGTGTCTTGAATTTTTGTTTCCAGACAGCACTTAGTACGGTGCTATATACACAGTAGAAATTTAAAAAAAAACTTGATAAAATGAATGGACACAATACTAAAAAAGTATCAGAAGAGGTGGATTTTTTTCTCTAGCTTTTTAAACTTAACTGTATGATCTTAATTTATAAATTCAAAGCTGGATATTAATGCAGGAGTAATATAACAGGGACTATAAAACTGGGCACAAGTATTCCTTACTTAGTCTTACATAGGTTAATGAGTTGATGCTTAGAGATCCTTAGATAAAAAAGTTATGAGAAACCAATATGGATCCAATAAGATTCCAACTGTTGGGGCAGCCAGGTGGTGCAGTGGCGGGGCAGCTAGGTGGCACAGTGCATAGAGCACCAGCCCTGAAGTCAGGAGGACCTGAGTTCAAATCCAGCCTCAGACCAAACACTTGACACTTACTAGCTGTGTGACCCTGGGCAAGTCACTTAACCCCAATTGCCTAAAAAACAACCAAACAAAAAAACACAAAAAATGATTCCAACTGGCATGGGGGTTGCCTTATGTAATTTCTTTTAAAAAAAATGAAAGTGGCATTTTTGGATCCAACAAATTATAAAATCATTTGAAGGCTGGTGCCAGAAAGGGCAAAAGTGGAAAGAACCTCAGAAGCCATCTAGTTCGACCCGTACCTGAACAAGAATCTTCATTACATCATACATGGCAGGTGATCATTCTTCAAGTCTTAAAGACTTCCAATGAGGGGAACCTGTTTCCTCCTAAGATGGCCCTTTTGGATAACTCTGATTATTAACAGGTTTTTTCTTACATAAAACCTAAGTTTGCCTCTGTAAATTTCCCAAAAGAAATACTTTTACAGTACTTAAAAACTCCTATATCCATCTAAAGGGCAAATATAATAGTTATATTATATATGTAAACCTATGTGCAAACCTTATCTGACTTTTGGTACCAATTTTTAAGCTGCATTTTTGTAAAATAATGAAGTAACCTAAAGTAGAAGCTATGTGATTTGGTAAATGCTTTATGATTTACATGAAATTTTTATGAAGCTTAAATGTTTACTTAGCACCCATGAATTAAAAGACTGTATGTTAAATGTTGTCCTCCTCTGGAAAATGAAAAAATTATCTTGGACAATCCCTGAAGCCCCTTCAAGCTCTGCTTTTTTATGTGCAAAACACTAAGAGAAAAATTATATGCTATGATCATCAAGAAACTTCCAATTTTTCTGGGGAGATGAAACATATTATTATAAAAAATGTTTAGATAATGCAGTAATTGATTCAAGAGTAACTGGGGACCTGAACTAAAGTGGTGTTAGTATTCAGGACTGCATTATTAGCATGAAATAAAACAGGAAAACATAAAATTTGGTAGAATCATCTATCATCAAAACCCATCCTTAAAAAAATGGAATGATATAAAAACCGTAAAATATTTTTATAGTTTGTAAGTTATTTATGGTATTTTTAAAGTAACAATTAAAAACACACACTAATTTAAGATGTGTTATACTTACTCTAATAACATATTGGTAGATTATTATAAGACTGATGGCCATGGAAAGATTTGCAAGGAGTGAAAGGACAGACAAGCTCTTTAGTTCACGAACGAGGACCAAAAGAAATATAAATGGGAGAAAGCAAAGCATATACATCCTCAGGTCAACACTTCTTCTCCCATGTAGCGCTGCTTCATCAGTACCATTCAGAGAGAACATTTTCTCTGAAATTCCTTCATGAATCTATAACAGGATTAGGGGGAGAAAGGAGAAAATATAGAGAAAAAAATTTTTAGACTTTATTATTTACTCAATTTTATACAATAAAAAAATCTGGCTAAGATAACATAAAGGAGTATAGAGAAATCAATAACCTATGGTACCTTGTACAATAATTACTCACAGTAATCTGTAGGTGAACAAAAATATAGCAGCATCATTTTAAGAACACTACCCTCCCAGAAGCATAGATAATCAAATCTATTTTTCCCTAATTTTAGCTGGAACTATTTTTTAAAAAAATAATTATTTTTTCTTACTATGAAAATTAAGTACAATAAAATTGTTTTTAGGATGAATTGACTCATTCATTTTGAAACTTCATGAAGCACCATACTTTTGAACTCTAACAAGACTTGACATGCATTTGGAATATATTTATTTTGAACATATCTAATATAGCAGCTGAGTGTACTAACATTGTATAGATCCAACCTGCAAAAACCTATTTATTTCCTCTAGTATTTAATATGCAAGTTGCAATTATTTTTCAGTGCCAAAATAAATTATTTTAAAAATCATAATCTGCCATTTAAAATATTTTATTAAACAAATAATATCAAATTATATTCAATAATTACATCAAGAACTTAATGTATGGTACCACACTAAGTAGTAAGTACTATATGACTTCACTTTAAACCTGGAGCAAGTAAACTATTTTACAAAAAAAGTCAATTAATCTTCAACTGTAATAATACTTTGTTTTTTGGTAAGTGCAATTACTCTTATGAATTTGATGTCGTCTTAGTGCCCACACTAAAACACTGACAGTGGGGGGGCAGCAAGGTGGCACAGTGGATAGAGCACAAGCCCTGAAGTCAGGAGTACCTGAGTTCATATCCGGCCTCAGACCAAACACTTGACACTTACTAGCTGTGTGACCCTAGGCAAGTCACTTAACCCCAACTGCCTAAAAACAAACAAAAAACCAAACCCACTGACAATGAAATGAGAAAGGATTACTATACAACTTTGGAAATACTTTCAACAAAAATGCTAGTTGGACAGATCACACTAAGTTTAAATACCACTAAAATAAATCTGCCAAATCCCTTCCCCTGTTGTCTTGATTTAGATCACCTGCAAACTCCTTTGTATCTCTGACAGTCTATGATTCTACAAATCACCCATTAGTCAGAAAATTAAAAACCTGAAAAACTTTTCTCTGTGGTATTTCTGTTATGCCTTACTAACAAATTGGGCAACTGAAATCATGACTATTTCTACATGGATAACAGTTAGCAATAGATACTTTGGAGTTTAAAACTGTACTCTCTTAAAATCTTTGGACTCAAGAATATTGTACCAATCTTTCACTGTTTTATGACATACACAGCACATGTTTAACTTGTGAATTATATCAATCTATCAATGACCACAGATTTCATGGGTGCAAGAATTTCCCATCTGAAAACTCTATCTACCAATGTAGACTGTAAACTTGTCTATAGCAAAGCACAGAGAATTTAACCTCCATGAGGTTAAACATCATGTCTGTGGTCACTCAACTAATAACTGTGAGAAGTGAGATTTGAACCTAGGTATTTCTGTCTTTAAGTCCAGCAATCCATACAATAAACCACACTGGTTCTGGCTTACAAATTATCCTCCTAAAATTAAATGTTATATTATTTAAATGGAATAGGAATAAAGTTAATTAATACACTTAACTTTTATTCACATATTAACTTTATTTACCTGATTTGCAAAGTAATCAAACTATTTAGGGCTTTGTAGGTGGCAAAGCCCTATACTGCAATAATTCTAAAATAATCATTACAACTGTATACTAATGAGGAAAACTTTGATAAGAAACATAACTTTAAAGCTAAGAATGTGGGAACCAGAAGGGAACTTAGAGATCATTTAGTCTTTATGCCATCATTGTACAAATGAAAGAATGAATATCTAGAAAAGTTAAGTAACTTGATCTAAATGTTAAGGCTATCCACCAAGTTGCTGTGTTCTGGTGAACTTTCTGTTACATTTTGATGGGTAAGCTGGCTAGACAGAAGCCTAAAGTATCAGGAAGTCTAATAGTGGATCTGTCACAACTTCCTTTTAATTTACTGGTTTACTTCACAAAACTCATAAAGATACTTACATAAATAATCCAAATAATGAGAATAATACAGATACATACCTAGACCTACATTTGCATTCTTTATACTCTTTGGTGCCCTCTACAGTCAGAGGTTGATTATATAAAATGTTTGTGTGTGTGTGTGTGTGTGTGTGTGTGTGTGTGTGTGTGTTCATGTCAATGTTTTGCCTTATGTAAAAAAAATGTGTGGAGATATCTATCTATCTATCTATCTATCTATCTATCTATCTATCTATCTATCTATCTTGTGTGGAGCTATATATATCAAATATATTTAGCTTCACATGTCATCCATTGTACATATGTATACATATATACACATATATTTCCACATGTATCTATACACACCCCCCCCTCCAAATATCATATATATTTTTTACCCAAAGGTAAAACATTGAAATGAACATGTAACACATACACACCTTTACTTTTCTGTAGTTGCCTATCAATGATGGGAAGAAGGTTAGAATAGGAAGAACTTTTTGAAGCCACGTACCTTTCAGTGTGTGTGTGTCTGTGTGTGTGTGTACGTGTACACATAGAAATATGCTATATCTGTGATATAGCAATCACAGATAAATTTGCTGTCCCTACCTGCACAAATGCTTAATAAAAGGTTTTTAATAATGAAATACCATACATTCAATTTTATGTAGATAATGACACTGATCACAACAACAATATTTAATTAAAATTGTGTTTAAAATTATTAGGGTTTGACCAACAATTTCATTTCATCTATTTAGTCATTCAAACGCTTATTAAGCACCCACAACTGGAACTGGCCAGTTCAGTCCCCAGGTTGTTGTTCGTCCTCTGTTCTCAAAGAGGACCATGGCATCAGGAAGGTGGTGCCATGATTTGCAAGTTGTTTTGCCCAGAAACCCTGAGGGTTTTCCCCTCCCAGACTGATTTTTTTTTTGGGTGAGGTCACTGGGGTTCAGTGACTTGCCTAGGGTCACACAGCTAGTAAGTGTCAAGTGTCTGAGGCCGGATTTGAACTCAGGTCCTCCTGACTCCAAAGCCTGAGTGCTATCCACTGAGCCACCTCACTGCCCCGTGTTTTTTTTTTTTTGACTAGGTAAATGAAACCATTCTCCGTCTCATTTCTTACCTAGCCTTAATCACTGAATGGGCATTTCCTCAGTCAAACTGAGACCTGGGAAAGACCTTAGCTTAAAAAGGCCAAGGTCTCCCATTGAATCTGGGGCCATCTCCAGTCGTCCTGATGACTTTGGAGGAGAACTCCTTAAATCCAATTCACATGCATGTCATGACGTCACCTCCCTAACATCATGGTCCTCTTTGAGAACAAGGACAAACAACAAAACACCTACAACCGCATTGTATCAGGCACTGGAGAGATACCGAGTTAAATGAGGCACAGTCCTTGCCCTTGAGGACTTTACACTCCAGTAGTGGTGATGGAATATACACATAGGATAATATAAATGAGAATACAGAGAGTGCATAAAAGAAGGACAAGTAGGTTGCTATGAAGTTTGGACAGGGGAGTAGGGATTAATGACTGAGGTGACCTTTGGGCTGAGCTTTAAAGAATGGGTAAGAGTTTAATAAACACAGTGTGGGAGTAGAGCAAAGTGAGTATTTAAGGTATAGTTAAGGGCATTAGCAGAGAAAGCAAAAACATAAAACAAAGTGCTTCTGAATCATCACCTACAATGTAAGAGAGAATAGGTGAGGGTAAAAGTGTGAGAAAGGAGCGAGAAAGTTAGGCAGGGTGCTTAATAATTCTAAGTTAGCTGCTATTAAATTCTCACGAGCTTTTCTACAGGGAAAAAAATTCTTGATCTTTTCCCCCACATGCTCTGCTTAGTTGAATCTATTTACCATTACTTTTAATTAATTTTTTCCAGTTTTGACTGTATACTCTCGTCCAATGATACCTTGGAAGTACTTACACTTCTCTATATACTGAAGAAATCCTTCTACAGAGCCAAGATGGCGTAGTAAGAAGTAAGTTGCTCACACCCTCCCATACTGACCTCTAAAAGCCCAGAAAATATCACCCTAGGAAAAACCCTGGAAGAGCTGAGCCAGCAGAAAGACAGGGTGCGGCAGTCTCGTAGCCCAGGACGCTTGGGGAATTAATGGGAAAGGCCCCTCTTGCTCTGGGGGAGGGGGAGCAGTACAGGAAGGGAGTCATCCCAGCCCGTGGCAAGCCCCACTTAAGCAAACCAGGGGGAGATCCTGAGCCCCAGGGTGGTGGAGCTGGTGAGCACCAACACTAGGAACCCTCCACCCCAACCCCCCTGAGTGCCTCAGCACAGGCAGGGGAACTGGTAAACACCAGCTCAGAAAACCACCACGTTTGCTGGCATTCTCCAGCTACCAAATTTCCCAGTGCTTCAACACAACCCCAGGCTGGCAAAATCCTCCAGAAGCCAAACAACTGAGTGCCTTAAAGAAGCCCGGGTGAGCAGGCATCCTCCAGGGGCCAGATTCCCCACCTCTACCCTGACAGCTCCAGTGCTGCTGACCCCAGCTCAGCACCAGGTAAGCTGCCAGACCCTTACCGCCTCCAGCTGCCAGCACCTGGGGCCCCAGCACACAAAGCCAGTGATCAGATCCTGGGCTCCTAGCACAAGAAGCTTGGGTCAGTGCCCCCTGTGCTCCAACATGAGAGATCAACTTTAAAAGTCAGAAAAGAGGCAAACACCATGAGCAGAAAGCAGAAATGGACAATAACCATAGATTCTTTTTCCAGGGACTGGGAAGATCAAGGCACAAATTCATCAATATACCCACATCCAAAATCTCAAAGGGAATATGAACTGGTCTCTATCCCACAAAGCCTTCTTGAAAGAGCTCAAGAAGGATTTTAAAAATTAAATAA